AAGGCCAAGAAGATATGACAAGCCGTTGTATGACACATAACATGTGTTTAATTCAGATGCCTTCCGTTCCGTTTTTGTTCTCGTTGCTCCTTTTGATCTGTGACAAAAATACCAATTAGACGATACATGTATTTTGCACGGAATCTGTTCACGCATCGACAGAATACACGCATACTCACATAAATGTTTGCAAAAAATATCCCCTATAGTTAACTTGCGATCACTTTGGAAATGACGGCTTAACAACAAAATATCTGCACAATGATTTGACAAAATCAAATATGACCTGGTCTATTTAGGGGAAACAGTTGTATAATTGTTTGAAATTTCTGCGTTTGAGAAATTATTCACAAAAAAATACTTTGGTTATAAAAGGTCACTAATCTGTTTAATAATCAAAAGAATAAGAAACAATGACCACGTAATGGACATTGGCCTTGGGTGACAATGATAACAAATTACTTATATGAAAGACAGTTGATTATATTGTTTTCATGGTGCTATGTGAGGGTAAGCATGGTAAGGTCATGGTCACGATCGTGGCTGTGTGTATATCTTCCCCCAGGTTAATACATTTTTTTTTAACTTTCTGAAGATAAAGCAAAGAATAAACTTTGTTTAATCCTTGAGTTTTGCCAATCAGCCAAGTTTTTGGTACGATAATTAAACAATAAGGTACTAGAGATTCCCTTTTCCGCCTATATAGTTATTTTGTTGCTCTTTTGTTGACTCTTTGATTACCTCGTTTCTAGTTTCGTTCATCTTTAGATTATTGAAATCTCCCAATAACACATTTTTTACATTTCTAACGCATTCTACACACATTTCCCATAGCTAAATTGACTGACGTGTTAACCACTAATTGTGAATTAATAGCTCAGAGTAATTAATTCCTTTGATAGATTGGTCGATTCAAGAGAAGGGGCGGTTAACCATCCATTTTTTTCCCGCTTGGAAATATTTTTTATAACAATTCAAAATGAACGTGATGTTTTTTCTTTCTCAATTGAGTATTCAATTGAAATAAACAAATTATAAAAACACAGGACTAAAATAATTCATAATTCTTAAAAAAAATTATACATGAAACCTGACAGAAAAGTGCTATTCGTTTGAATGCCTTTCGTTCAGATATCTTATGAAATTATTTTTAACGCATCTCTTTAATGATTAGAAATAGTAAAAAGTTAAATAAAATATGCTACAGGTTTTTTTTTAATTTCTTTGTTCTGTTCAATATATTCAGTAATTTCTGTTATCCTGTGTAAGTTTGATACCATAGCTTTCTGAAAATTGTAGAATAAACCGCAGTGCATTCACGATATTGACAACAAATATGAAAACAACAAATCTATTTAGACAAAAATCACAATCAAAAGTAGTTAAAAGGATACTTGAATCGACATTAGCTACGATCTTAACAGTATTCGTTGGAATAAATAGCGTGTAGTGTTTTGGGCTTCAACCATTTACACGAACGAAATTTTAAATAATTCCTTATAAGAAGTCAGTTTGTTTCAATTTTGTCAAAATAGTCTCTTCAACTTCGCTGATACATTATTGTCTTGTAAGATATTATTCAACCTTATTTGGTTCCGGATGAATGACCTCAGTTGGAAATCGATTGTGCATATGCTTGTAGCAATGAGGCAGAATTCGTTGACTGATTCGGTCCCCCCCAAAAATACCACCAAAAAACTGTCTTTTACCGGCAATCACAGAGGCAATGTATTATACGTTAGTCAGCGATATTTTGGATTGCTATGAAAAATTGTATGCATTTTGAACTCGTTTAACTGCATTTGAATATCCCCCATTTTAAAGCAAATTGTAGGTTTTTTACGACATGCAACCTATGAGTTGCAGGGAACAGTTTATTTCAGAATTTTTTTCCATATTTCTACCCTATAATTTATGCCTTTTCATCGATGATCAATACATTTCTGCTATTTTGTCATCACGCGGAAAACCACATTCAAACTGAATGAGCTGACATATAGTGATTGGACCCATTTTGGTACTTTAGTGCATACATAAAATATGAGTAACTAAAAAGTCTTAATGAAATGAATTATAATTATCTGCAAATAATATGCAATTGGTTTACCGATGGAATTTTAAATATCTAACTCTGAATCGTATTAACCTATAATTATAACATTGATGATAATTAGTTTGTTAAATTATTCGAAACACAAATTTTCGCAAAGGTTCAGCACCGTTTGTCATATTTGTAATGCCAGAATTAATAAAAATTCAGACGTCTGGTTGATTTTGGATAGGTAATCGATCTCATCGATCCAGCAGTCAGGGTTACGAAGTTTAAATAATTCAAAAGACATGTTTACTCTGTACAAGAAGTACTCTTATTAGAACGCTTTAAACTCATCAGATTGTCATTTCTGACACAAGATATAAGACCCCTACTCCTAACTTGGTTATGCATGTCACAAGTCAGAAACCTTTGACAGTGCTTATCTATTATGTATTCACACTATTGGTGGTATGTGTTGAATTGTTTCAAGTGCCATTCGGTATCAGCTCCCGCTCGCGCGTTATTGATTTTTTTATGATTTATAATTAGATCGATCATTGGTCGTATGTGTTCAACTGAGTTCATAGGTGATCGCAACCAACGTCTCCAGAACTCACCTGACGATGTATAACACTTTATGTGTCTGATATTTTGTACAATTAAAGAATTTTAACTACGAAGAGGTGAATGCCTCCTGATTTATAACCTTGTGTTAGTGTCATATTTTGTATTGATCGCTTAATATCGCAACAAATACCATTAACACGGCTATCTCTACTGCATACACATTATGATCTGTGTTACCGTTTGCCATTCAAGTTTTGCTAACGTGAATAGCAAATATTTGTCCTTCGTTCCGATGGGAATTACAATACAATGAACCTGTAATCGTGTGCAGCAGATTTTTATCCTTGTCATGCGCCTACTGCATCTACAGTACCGATAACCGGTAGTAGGGCAAGATTAAGTATTCTGATGCAGCTCCCACTCCCGAATAGTTGACTGATCCCTGGTTATAATCTCTTCAGATCTTTGGGTGTAATTGTTGAATTAATTCATTAATGACGTCACCAGTTCGGTTTTGTACTCTTTTTTTTAAAGACGTATTTAATTGGATTCTTGCTTATAATCATAATAGTAGAGTACCGAGCGGGGTTTTGTTTTGTATTGTTTGTTTTTGTGCTATGTTGACCGTTTTCGTATCCATCACTTAATCTTATATTCTCTCTAAGAAAGCTTAAAGTAAATAAGTATGAGATGTAAATGACGTTGTTATCTAAGGCTAAGCCATATACCTGTTGAAAGAGAAAGTACCTCCATTCGTACGGACTTCGGACCTTTATGTTGCATTCAGACCATACAAAATATAATCTTTTGTCTTATGTGTTTTTTTATTTTAATAATTATTTGTCTTTTTGCTTTTTTTTACTAATATTTTACCCAATATCGATTACTTTCAAAAGGAATATTTCCTGTTACGATACTCATAAAGGTGATCCTCACTATACGATGTCTTGTTTTATAAAAAGATGAAACAATCCTAACATACACAGATCATAGATAAGTTTGAAGCTTAAATGTTTTAATGATTATTGTTTGAAAAACGGTTACTTTTAATCGCATGCTATGCCATCAAATTTAATTTTGGAAGCACAATATCATGGTTATTTAACCGTCACTGATTATTCTAACATTCAAAGTATTGCAGTTATACTTATTAATTTGTGTTCTTTAAACCGTCGGCTCAAAGGCCAAAAAGATATAACAAGCCGTTGTATGACACATAACATGTGTTTAATTCAGACACCTTCCGTTCCTTTTTGTTCTCGTTGCTATTTTTGTTCTGTGACAAAAATACCAATTAGCCTATACATGTATTTTGCACGGAAACTGTTCACGTATCGACAGAACAGTCACATACTCACATTAATATTGCAAATAATAAAACCTATAGTTAACTTGCCGCGATCATTTTGGAAATGACGGCTTAACAACATAATATCTACACAATGATTTGACAAAAACAAATATGACCTAGACTATTGAGGGGACATAGTGGTACAATTATTTGCAAAGCTGATCACACCTTTACATACACCACTTCAATCTTTCATCAAGTGCCCGGCTATTTGCAAAAAGGCAACACTACACTCGATTATCAGTGCTTGGTCTACGTTGTTAGTATTCCGAAGATTTGTGCAACTCCCGTACTTCGTCTTCATCCACAAATATAGCAAACTTAAATTGTATGAGCGACAAAGGCGTTTACGTTTAACCCGTAAAACAGACTATCATTATTATTTTTGTCCAGACACTGTTATTGCCGCCAGTTTATGAAGTTGACTAGCTGTGTTTCACTTAAAAAATAGAAATAACATCCAAGATAAAAACAGGAAAGCGTATAGAGTTATACACTAAAGATAAGGATACATGAAATTAATTTCTTCTTTTCCACTTGAAAAAGGATTAATGCTAAAGTTTGACCCCCTCAAGGGGTGTCCGTTTGGTGGTATAAATACGCAGCCATATCGGTCGGAAATAGTACATCAAATCCAATGCCTCGTTTATGCCATTCTCTCTACCTGTTGGAGAACCCTGGCAACATTTTTTTGAACAGCAAGTAAGTCAGATGCAACTTTCTGCCGGAATCCAAAATACCATCGTTTCCCAATTGCTGTCCCCTTCATCTCAGTCTGCTTTGTAAAATAGATTTATTGTAATTGCGTTCTATTCGTGAATATGCTAGAAATATATAATACTGGATATTACGCAAACATCAATTGATAAATCAATATGGAGTAAAAGATGTAAACACATTCTTAAAACACATAGTAAAAAGGTATCAAGAATTAAAAGTTTTTAGATTAAAAGTTTCCTTCTAATTTATTATACCTACAGATACATAAGATAGTACATGACAAATATACTAAAATTAATATTAGTAAAGTATCCATTCTTTTAACAGGCAATACAAAGTGGTATAAGTGACTACTTTTAAGTTGAATCAGGTGGAATATATGATGAAGTATTGCTTACCTAGGCTGTTGGTACTGTTATCCTTTTACTGGGGTAAGTGTTGACACCTTTTTATAGGTTTGGAAGTTTGAATTAATTTTACGATATTTTTGTAAATTAAACTTTTTTTAGACGTTTTGAAATTATTCACACGTAAATTATTTTTACAATACAAGAAAAAAATCTATTTTTGCGAGTTCCATTGAATAATGGAGAACTATTGTTATTTGTATTAATTACATAGAGTTTTTGGTAGTTCTTATACAGCAGAAAGGCAAATACTATAGTAGTGCACATTCTCCGATTTTACTATACCTTATTCTAAATTTCAGTGAATTCTGAAGATTCCTCAATTCAAAGATTTGATGGTTGGTACAACAATCTAGCATTTCCAAGGTGGGGAACGGCAGGTAGGCATTTATATTGTATGATAGTCTGAATGTCATTGTTAGTTATATAGTAGTGTTATAGTGAACCTTCACGGGAATACGGTTCAACGTGGATGATGTATTTATTTTCAGTTCATTTGTAAGTATAGATTATTGTAGCTAAACTATGAATAAAGGTCAAATGTTTTCTGCAGCATATATTCTCATAGGTGTGTTAAAAATCTATAAATTGAAAAATTGATAAATATTTAGAAGGTTATCAATTCAGAGTAACATACCAGACTGACAACATTTCATTGGTGTTTTCTCTTTTGCTGACATCACAGAAATATTTTGAGTGTCTGTTTTCAAAATTATTGTTACGTGCACTTACTGATACACCTACATGTAAATAAAGTTCTTGACTTCAAATTATCTCAAAAAGACAACTAAACATTGGCTGTCACGTTATGTTAACTTTCCAGAGATATTTCATCGCAAATCACCACTTGTATAGTGCACTTCAAGTACTTTACATATCATCATAACGGTATCCCTATAGTACTTAATTCTCTTTGAACAAAGGGTCAACTACTGGGTCATTTATAAAGGGGTGGTAGTTATACACAAAGGTATGACTAAGCAGTGTCTCTCCGTGCAAAATATTTTAAGTGTTCATGAAGTTCATTGACTTTAAGAGCATGTTCTTTAAAGTGGGAAACCCCTGCAAAAGTACAAGAATAATTACGCTACTGTTTCAACTTCAAATGTTTTTGTACGGAAATGAATTAGATGAAGAGGAAAATATATACGTTTGTTACTGCGTACAAACAAAAATAATCTGCATACAAAGAAAGATAACTCTAAATATTTCTATTTTCAAATCAGAGTGTAAAACAATAGAAAACAGTATGGCTGAATTATAGTAATTATATCTTTTTAAATGTTTTAAAAAATGATAAAATTCAAATAATAGAAAAATAAAGGATATGGACTATCCATCCATGACACAAAATTAGTACATTCACAGCACAAAAAAACACACACAAAAAGCAAAGGAACAGCGCTTTTATTGCTGTTCTTCATCTTAAAGTAACTGAGGCCTTCAACACGGAGCAAAAAAAAAAAAAACAACAAAAAAACTCTCACCTCACTGCAAGTTTAAGACGGCCACTAGCACTGGCTTGAATAGTTTTTATATTTATACGTGCGGAATAAATGTTTCATTGATACTCTTACAATTTCTTAATTCAATCATGTTTGTCTATGAGTAATACAAACATGACAAAACCACAATAGAAGACGTTACTTAGTTGCAAAACTTGTATCTGGTTCATTTGTCATTCTGAACAATAACATATGTTTGAACTAAAACCACACAATGATGAAGTAATTGTAAATAAGGCTATATTTAACTCATCAACACAAGTTTAACCAAGTATACACCAATAAGATGGTGATGAACTCTTTAAATAAGTTTTATAAAATTATACAGAATATGTCAGCTGTCTAACTTCAGCATGTCGTATAAATTAGAAGCGAAACGGAAAAGGGAAAAGGAAGAAAAAATTGTTATACCAAATTTGTTTTTTTTAATCAGAAAGTTTTTGACTTGCTCAACGAGAACTTGTACTGTTCCGTTTATTGATTGTTTTATGGTTTACCGCTTATTATCTTGTTCTTTAGTTTTGCACGGGCTTAAAAGGTTTTCCCTGAAAAGAAGGGGATGTACTGCTGCTGCCATTTCCATTTTAGTTTTAAATATATGTATTGAATTCCTCTTGTAACACTTTATGTGTCTGAGAGATTACAATAAAGAACTTGAACTTGAACTTGACATACATCAAACAGCTTTTAATAATTCAAAATATATCAAACTTTAATTACTTATCCGCAACATTAATTGCTAATCTTTCGGTTTTTGTGGTCGCTTTCCGGTAAAAAAAAAATATAAATTCTTTTAAAAGAAAGACTACAGAAATATTCATGTGATACTAAACCAATCTAAGTGACAATCTTTGCAATAAAACATTGTAAAGGCTTATTTAAATGACGGAAGTTATAAAGAATTATTCAGAAATACTTAGTTTCTTATGACCTCATGTATATAAATAAATATGTAGATTCAGTATGTCAAATTCCCTTAATACGTGGAACACTTTGTCGATCATATACAGTATGTGCATCAAATGTATTTAAGTACTAGTAGATTCATGTTAAAAATGCGTCCTGCCTCCACTTACACAAGAGTATCTATGTTGTAAAGAAAGTCCATCCTGCGAAAAACAATCTCATGTTATATATATACATAAGGAAGATTTCATGAATGTGAAAAATTCCAATGCCAGTGTAAATTAGGCAAAGAAATCAATATTTTGATTGATTGATTAGTTGTTGTTTGCTTTACGCCGCATTAGCGCAGAAAGGCTATATCGCGGCGAGAGCTAATTCGAATATTATAACAAATTAGCAATATTTTGATAAGCCAAGTGAATTTTAGAAGTTGCTTTCTGTACATCTTCGTTTTTATAGAATTTATGAACAAAATTTATTGTTGATGTACAAAATATAGAGCTTGATGCATATTGTATAGCAAAATCATTTGTATAACAAACCTTTCTTAAATTGTCAGTTTATAATTTTTTGGAATTTCAAAAAAAAACTAAGGTTTCAACTCCCACGGGCAGATCTTAGATGGATTTGGTTATTATTTTTAGGCCTCTTTGGTCATATAGCTCTTCAACTGTCTCGGTTTTTATACATTGTTGTCTTTCAAATGCTTGGCTTTGAGCATTCTTGGTGAAGGTAAAGTCAGAAAAGCGCTTCGGATGCATGAAATTTATTGCTTCGCATCACGGTGCGGAGCTATTAGTTTCAGTCGATATACACGCCATCTTGAAATAATTACTTATCACATATAGATTCTGATTGGCTGCTTTATGATGCGACTGAGATACAGCAACAGCTTTTCTAAATGAGATAAAGAATTACAGACTTTTCTCGTCTCAGGATAAGACATCAAATGCCGGAAAATTAACTATGAGATAATGTGTATTTCAGTTCCGATCAACTGTCATTAATTCATGTTCGTTTTATTATGCATATATGAGGGGCCTGATGGGGGGGGGGGGGATCTCATCACGATTCACGAGTTGATTTTTTTTGTCAATCACGATTCACAGAAAATAAATTTCCATGATCACGGATCACGAAAATATAAAAATAAAATAAATCTGTAGAAAAACGGATCACGATAGCGAAAATGCGCCGATCACGAAGAACGATAATAACCCATCAGGCCCCTCATATATTGCACACTGAAATTCAATATTGAAATATCAATTATTAATACGTGTTTTTTTGCTTTGTTAATCTTCAATATGCACGATTTGTTTTGCTAAACAATGTTCCTATATAATGTTTACAAAAATGCATTATCTGTATTTTATAACTTCTGCCAATCTATGCACACCCCAGAGAGACACACCTCCAGAGTCGTGTCTATTTGTAAATGTATTAATTTTCAACAAGTAAAGTGAACAAAATTTTAAAAGCATGGGTGTATAACGCACACCTTGAAGTAGAACAACACCATTTTCACTGAAACTAAATATCTATTGCTGTTTACAATTATATGTAATTGCTTCGCATTGCAAGCTTTATGGTAAATCAACAACCACATGCACACATATTACCTTAAATTAGGATACAGCGAAGCAGTCCACAGCTTTTTAGAAAGCTCAAACTTGTAAGTGTTGTTTTCATTAGACGTCTTTCGGTGTGTTGTATAGTGTCTCATTGATGTTAACATTGTATTAGAAATTGTCAGAAGAATAAGCATAATAAAGAGGTTGGGTCAATTTTCTTTGAAAAAAAATCTCACATGGTCAAAATTAAAAAAGTTGTAAAAACCTACTGGTATTCAAATATTTCAAACGAGTCCAAATAATTTTGTTGAAAGTGATCAAACAATCAAAGGTTTCTCTGATGGCGCTACATGTTGAAGACAATATTGTAATTTTTAAAGATTTCCTTATAGAATTGTGCATCAAAGCCCAGCAGTCAGTAACCCAGATGAAGTAATCAACATATTAATTTCAACGACAAATTCTTTTTAGAAACTAAAGGAATTTTGCTAAATTCTAAACCAGGTATATTCATTTTGTTTACCAACCACTGGGTCGCTACCACAACTGATGATTCTCTCGTTCCAAATAGTATCATCAGCCTCATCAGCCCAGCAGTCAGTATATTCAGTGATGACATGATATATATCGTTGACTTTCGGTCACTTTTTGCAAATTCATTGTTCATAAAATGTTGAAATGATTCGAAACCCTAAGGTTTTTACTATCCCATGCACAGATGGCTAGTTTTTGGTACAACGATTTGCATGGAATGTTTCAATACCTTCGACTTCCTTGTTTATTTGGCCTTATACCCGTATTATTCTTAGCTCCCCTGATGTGGATGGTGGAGACGAAACGAGCATCTAGCTGACGTAAAAAAATTTAAGCCTGGTATCTTTGATGTTTTTTTTTAAATATCTTCAGGCATTTATAAGATGGAAACATGTTCCGAAGTTTGCCATTATGTTTACAAAACCTTTCAGTACACAAATATGAAGCTATATGTAAGATTCTGTAATGTAAGTTAAGTTTGAAAGATTTTCAGAAAGTGACCTTTGATGTGAAATAAATTCAAAGGAAATTGGCCATAACTCTTTCTGATTTCTTTTTAAGAGTGTACGCGAATGGTGATCTAGTGTTATGTATTCGACAAAAGTAGTCTTGAGCATACCTAACAATGATATAACACGTCATACAATATAAGATCGGTATCGAACATTAATTTGTATATTTAATGCTACATTTTTGTCATTATGAATAGTTTGTGTGCATTGGTATTAACACTGACCTGGCTTTTTCTCTTATGTCGTGTTTTTCATTTCAGGGGAAAACTTGGTTCATAACATTTCTTCGGTTTATGAAGATTATACATATCAACCGACTGGTTCGGGTAGACCTAGTGCCCGATTAGTGAGCAATGCTCTGTTCAGACAGAACACAAGTACAGATTCAGGAGGATCATATAACAACAGGACAGCTTTCTTTGCTTTCTTCGGTAGGTTTGAAAAAGGAAAATATGCTTGGAAGAACTGTGAAACTCGTATAGTTAACCCTTTAACCTTCGGTTTAGCTTTTATCATATAAAGATATTTTACGTTAATTTTTTTGTCACAGATCAATTAATTTCATTTGACGGAGCTTAGCTTAGTATTCAGAAATGTTGGCAATAAATAAAAGGCATATGATTTGAAAATTAATTTTAATACGAATATTTCATGTTTTACTTAGTATTTTATTTATGAGGGGTGGTTCTTGTCTGCTAATGCCTTCGTCTTAATCATATCCTCTCGTATCGTTCATATATTAAAAGACAATATTAGCATGCATAAAGATGAAGAGAAAGCAGTTAATCATTAATTATTAGTCTATATCGAACAATAAGTATATAAATCACGAACATATCTTGTCTTAAAAATTCATAAATTTACTTGACCTGTTTCATTTCTTTATTTTAACAGAAAAAGACTGATTTATTTTTGGCGTTCTCATTGGCATCTGACAATTTCTCACTCGTCTAGTAATATAATGTTTATGAGTTGTCTGAAACCTAAGGTTGATGCAAGCTAAAAATATAAAACGAAAAACTGTTTTTACTCATTTGTAAATTGATATGTTGTTCAGTCAATCGTTGAATATTTTTCTATATTTGATTCTTGGATTAGTTATTCTTTAATTATTTACTCATATTTTCTTCTTCGTTTTAAGAATTACTTCGAAAATGTATTTAAAAATGACAAAGTTTCGCCATCTCAAAAATCTCCCAAAATATCCAAATGTGTAAACTTATAGTTATTTGCCAGAGTTCTCGAAATCTTTTTTTGCCTGGTGGTCCTTGAAGAAAATATGCAGGTCCTCACTATATTTTCTATTGCAAATTACCACAATTGTGTTGGTCCTTCCCAAAAATGTGGTCGTCTAATCCCTAGGACCACCACTTATCGAGAACTCTGATTTACACATCGTCATTGTATATACAAACGCTGTAGATGTGTGTAGGCTTTGTATTGAAATCTCTTCGTGGAATTAGTTACACAAAATGAGTACCTTACATATAGAAAATGTTTGTTTTGACGTTTGATATTTTTTGGCCTTCCAAACAATTGCTGCGAACAAAGCAGATTAATGTATTTTTTTTAGAAACAAGTGCCATGCAGAAATAAGTATCATACAATAATTGTTGAAAACTATTCAGTTTCGCCATCTAGATAATCTGTAAAAAAAAATTAGGTGTTTACGTTCTACAAAGTGTAAAATATCTAACTTGGAAACTGAAAGAGAAGTTAATTACACAGGAACTCTTTTTACCTTGAACCACCCGCATTGTTTCCAGTCAAAAAACAAAAACCTGTTTAATAGTATCACATATGAATAATTTACATACTTTAAGTATACTTGTCAGGATCACAACGACGAAAAAAAATCCCACACCTCACGGGAAGTTAAAAGATGCCATTAAAAACATATTCTGAACATTCTCGAGATTTATAGAAAATACTCCCAATATCGGATAAAGCGAGGAATATTCTTCCTTATTGTTGCATGATATACGTGCAGTCATTGTATTTCAGCATTGCTTTTGGTAAAATTTGCAAGTCACGTCTACTTATATATTACTTCCAAAGATTTATACAGATTTGACATTGATTGTTTCGTGAGTGTTTTTGCATGAAATGTATGTATTCAAAAAGTATTAATTATACATAAATGACAATGTATGTTGAAAAAAAAACTGCATACGAAAATGGAATGATGAGCAAATTCCTTGCATTAAAAATTAATATAATTATGCAATAAATCATAATTGCACTAGATACCATATCAATCAGAATTGTACTTTTCGATTGCCCTTTTTGTATTTAATGACAAATAGTTTGTAGGTTGAGATTATATTTATAATTTTCCTTGACAAATACAAAAATGAATGTTGTGCAATGTTGCCCCATGAAACCTCTCTCTCTCTCTCTCTCTCTCTCTCTCTCTCTCGGTTACACTCTAATAAGTTTCATGGGGCATATCGTGGATTTGTATACCAACTTCGACCGAGCATTGCGTATTTATGATACAAAAATCCTGGTTTGATTTTAAGATTTCTTACAATTAACAAAAATGTTTATGCATTAAGATCATATCAGAAGAATGATGCATTTAGTGGTTAGTGTTATACTGAAAAGAGTTCAGACAATATTAAAGTACATTACCAGCAGTACATATAGTCTTGCTGTCTAGCCTATACATTATTCTTGCACAATATACATACGTTATCAACATTCACATTCACAGATGTACTTGGTGCAGAATACGATATATTATTTACCGTATTAAATATTTTCATAAATTGTAATGCATTAGTGTCATTGTCGGTTCATAAGCAAAGTTTGAATATTTTCGTCATATTTCAGTGATGATATGTGTTGATAGTAATTATTATTATGCGCATTCAAGCAGTGGGTATACGTGCATGCATTACTATTTTCATTTTTTTCACATACATGTTTAGAGATTACTTATTAATGTTTTTCTGAATGTACAATATCAGTGTAGTTAGAATATACAGCTTAGTCTATGGTTCCTGACTAATCCCCGAAATATAGTTTTTTTTCAATAATAATTTTATATCTAATACTTTGTTCGAGCTATAAGAGGACAAGATAATGAAATTACACTTTAACATTGTTAACGAAAATTGTATTTTAACCAAATTGACGTCTGATTTTTCTTCTGAAGTTCACGCTCTTGGTCCAGAACACGCATGGAATATTTGCCACAGGACGCAAAGCAAACAGTAGTCAATTAATCCTGCTTCTGGTAAATGCTTTCATGAGCTTGAAAAAATGAATCCAAGCAACATTTGACTTAAAAGACCGAAAATTGCAAGTTTTCTTGGAACAGCAAACATATCAGCACTATAGTGTGTCTAAAATCGCCTCTTCAAAGTTTCTATGTCGACATGCTACCTTCGTATCTAACTAAGGTATATATTAAAAACGGACAACATCTGACATGTTTAATAATGTTTTAATCTAAAATAAATATTGTAGTTATGAATACTTTTAGGACAACTTGTATCATTCGAAGTTTCCGATACAGATGACACAACATGTCCTATTGAACTGTTGGAAATCCCAGTCCCAAAATGTGATCCAGATTTTGATGCATTATGTAGTGGTACGAAAAAGATGCCATATGAAAGAATTAAGTATGACAAACATACAGGACAATCTCCTAACACGCCACGACAGCAGGTTAGTATATCACATGATCTGTCCAAACCTTCCTCTATATAACCCAAAATCTGATCTTTCTTATGATTTATATTAGTATTACCTGTCACGGATAAGCTCAAAATTCCAAAGTAAGCTTGAATTCTTTTTTTTTTTTATATTCGGACACATATTATACGGAAGATGTAGGTAAATGAATATCACGCAATGAAAACTCATCAAAGAAACCTGGCTTAAAATGTGTTACGCCAAACGCACATGTTGTCTACATGGAACTTGTCAGTAGCTCTAACGGTTGGAAAATCAAATCAATACGAAGTGAAAGAGCATTCCATATACTAGTATGCGTTTGATAGAAAACCCATAATATTTCGAATGATTTAAAACATTAATATATATAATCATGCACTGGACCATGAAACGTCCACCAGAATTTGCAATAATCCAGTTGTAAAATTCATTTACGGTCCCAGACAAGTGCGGTATTTGCATTAACTGCTCCAGAGACATATAATGCATATAATTGTTATATATGTCTCTGACTGCACATTAAGGTTATTCATATCAATCCGAGTTGAAAACATATTATTAATGACTACCTATATTTCAAAGCATGCTTATGATGGAGTATGGAAAACTGTTTTTTCTCTCTTTTAAATAATACAAGTCAGAACACTTGACAATAAAACAGATGACCTAAAAGTTCATTGAGTTCTGACTCTTTTCGTTTGCGTACACTTAACATTTTATCATTTTCATACATAATTGAACTAGTAAGAATTAAAAGTGTTCCTGTTCAAGAACAACAAAAAAAAACATATTGAAGCAAAGTAACCTATCCTATACCGTCGTTTGGTCTCTGGTGGATAGTTGTCTCATTGGCATTCGTGATACCGGATCTCCGGGTTTTTATATCAGGTTAGATGATACGCCTTTGGGATGTGTAATATAAGTGGTGGTAAAAAAGTGGGATATTCAGATAAAGGGGGTAAAAAGTGGGATCTGGAAAAAAGAAGAAAAAAGTGGAAAGTAGATAAAATTAAAAGAAAGCGGGATTTTGGAAATGAACACCACCGTATCACCCCCTCTTAAGTGTTCTGACAATGTTTATCATAGACACAGGGGGCTTGTTTTAAGCCAAATACTTTAATAAACCGGAAATTGCAATCAGATTCAAAAGGCCCTAAATCTTGGACCTACATTATGTCCCAGCCATACACAGACTGTCACACGCGCTCGATAGAAAACCATTCGTTTTGTAGAAAAGATAGAATTTAATAATAACATGATGAATAATAAACTAAATCAGATATTAAGCAAAATATCATACTGTCGTAATCTTTTCCTTTCAATGGATATTTTAATACATCCTTAGATGGTATATACAATCTTGGAATGATATATACTAAATATGTTATGTCCCAGATATAATGAACTTTCAGACATCCTAAAATAAAATTGCAAATGTGTCAGAAAAATTATCGAAGTGAAACTTTTAACACACTGCTTAGGAATGTGTTAAATGACAAAATGACATTGAAATACTACCAAAGACAACGCTAGTATGAGTTTTTGTATTTAATGAGTTTTTGACTGATTTACTTTTTCTCACTAGATTTATTTTAAGGGTGTAGTATATTTTTTTCTCTCCTTTAACTTTTCTATGTTGTTTCATTCTATCGTCTGTTAGTCATTGCTTATTTCGGACAGGTGAACAGGGTTAGTCTTATTTTGATTTTACCAAATTTGTTGTGAACATAATTTGGCTTTCCATGCAACTCAATTTTAAAAAGAATAGAGAATAATGGGCAAATAGTATAAAGAATAGAGAAAAATGGCCTAAATAAAGAATACACAGAAATTTCACATGTAGGACCCCATCCAGACCCTCCTACATCATGAAGTGGTTGCATATTTATATAAACCACCTCAGTTGTCAAGTGGTAGTGTGTTCATCTCGAGAGCAGGAGGTCGTGGGTTTGAACCCTGACGGGTCAAACCAAAGACTTTAAAATTGGTATTTGCTGCTTCTCTGCTAAGCATGTGGCATTAAGGAGACCCTAAGAGCAGACTGGTCAGCTCCGAGTTGGAATAATGTGTCTGGGTAAGATGACATTTCTTTCTGCGGACTGTTACCTTGTGAGCTAGCACCTTAAAAATCTGGCTCAGTGTGTCGGTCTAGTACAAAGCAGGTTTAATATTCATATCACATTAACATGATCTGATCCAGAATATGAATTTAACTTGATTGCTGCTTGACTTTAAGTAGCCATCCATCCATCCATCCCATATTTATACATCCCAGAGAGCAAATTTTACAGACCATTGTGGTTGAGAGATTACCCTGAGCTAGAGAAACTTTGCCCAATATCTTTTCTATGGGATACATAAGGAGGAATTTTTTTACTTAAGTAAAAAGTCTTTAAGTGCAGGGTTCGACACTAACGCTAGTCCGCTAGCCCGAGGCTAGTAAAAATTAGGGAAGGCTAGTAAAGTTTTCATCACAGTAGTCCAACGGGCTAGTCAAAATTTTGTTTAAAACTAGGAATTTCACAAAATTTTAATTGTCAACAAATCCCAGATTTTTTGCTGACCTTTGCTGTCTTTAATGTACAGTTTATTCACGTATATTTTGATTGTCAGACATTTTTAACATGAAAGGTACTTTTTGGGGAGGGGAAAGAAACGGAAACAATGATGGTACTTAATACATTGAAAACAACATGTGTTACAAATGCCGTGATGATTCTAATCAGAAACCTGGATCTCAAAAGTGCTTTCATAATATCAAAATAATAACATGAATACGAAATTTACATACATTACTACCGATACCATCACTGTTTGGGAAAAATGTACAACCAGAGACATATAATACATTTAGTACATTGTATTATATGTCTCTGGTACAACTTATTGGGAGGAATTTTAAGCCATTTTTTTAGTAATTGGGAATTTTCTCTAGGGGAAAAAGCTGTATTTCGAAAGTAATTTGAGGCAATGCCACAAACAACATCACTGAATTATTGTCATTATTATTATAGGTCTCTGCAAGGATTTGTATACTATACAATTCCTTGGTCTCTGGTAAAAATATACAGATTTTTGTGAATAAAATCTTGTCCTGCAAAAAAAAAAATAAACTGAAACAACAAGGGAAAAGAAGGAGTCCATGAAGAATTATGACAAAAAACAGCAAGGGCAAACCTTTCCTCTTTTGTGGGTGTATTTTTAAATCCCTAATTTATCCATCTTCATTAAAGACACTAGTAATAATGATAAGTAAAATGAGGATGATGATGAAGTAATGATCTAAAGGGGTCTTCAAAATAAGTCGAACACATTTTTAATATAGATGATTAAAATATGAAATTTCATGAAACAAAACATGTTCAAAACCCTCTGGAAATGCTCCAGAACACAGGATTTAGCTTCATTTGTATCAAAATTTTCTGGGGGGGGGGCATGCCCCCAGGCCCTCCTAGATAGGGTCGTGCCGGTGGCACAACCATCCAAGTGCATTCGGCACTTGGAGGGCTAGTGAATTGACAAGAGGACTAGTAGAATAATAATTTCACTAGCCCTGCAGGCTAGTACATACATTTAGTTAGTGTCAAACCCTGAAGTGTAATAACCAAGGATTTGTAAAATAAGTTTTTCTAAACAAATAGCACTGGCTTCAGAAAAACCATCTCCAGATGCTAAGTGATAGCACTGGCTTCAGAAAAAAGCATGAATTAACTGGTAACTACCAATGTGAATTGAAAGTAATGAATCCATCTGCAAACATTATGGTATACCACAGGCATACAAGTACATGTATAAAAAAGACTATTGGCCTCTGCTGCAGTTAAACAATGCATTTACAAAAAAAGTGTAGCAATATGAATTAAAGTAATTCCTGTAGGGATTCGGAGTCCAGAGCAGTTTTTCCGATATGGCTGTGTAAAATCTTTAAAGGGATTCAAAAAGAATAATCCCTATCCAGGATATATATTTCAGCAAAAGTTACATAACAAATGTACATGTACTAAGGTCACTGTATGGGCTTCATTGCCATACATGTGTATTGAATGATGATGTAAACCTGTTTAATAATACAACTGTCTGCAATTGTATACATGTATAATAAAACAATTAAAAAATGATTGAACTGTCAGACTTAAAAAAAAAACTTTCCAAAAGGGATCTACATCAGGTCACCAAATCTGGATAAATTTTCCTTCCAAGTTTTGCTTAAATTGCTTCATGACAGTACCTGTGTACAATACATGTATAAGATCAAATTTCAACACAAAAAAAATTCTTAAAGGGGCATTACATTTGTAGCTATGAGATATTAAAAAAAATTAAAATATAATTTTTGATTCAGCCATGCTGGATCTATGTGATCACTCTGTTTTTGGAGTTGGTGCAGAATACTAAGTTGACATATCATGCAGACTACACGAAATTCGTCGCACAAATCTGGTGAATAATGGATCGGTCTGGTAAAATTTTGTTGAATTCCGGTCCGAATGTCCGGTGTTGTTTTTTCATGGACTTTTCTAAAAACCCTACATTTTTCCCAATTTTGGGAGCAAAATTCCCAAACGATCTCAAAATTCATTTTCATCTTTATTATTCATGACAGCGATGATTATTTTGTTCATCCGATAGCTTTATGCCTAAAATCGCCAACAAGTAATGTGTAAATCCGAGTAAAAACATATCTTGACCGACAAAAACAACAATGGCTGCCATCAACCGGAAATATAGACAATATCAGATCAGATATGGGAACGGATAAGGCCAATTCCGGGTTTGCCAATCAAATACAAAAAATAAATAAAAAAATCCAAGCAGGTTCACAAAATACAGCTATGAAATATAAACACTTGAATTGAAAACCAAAGATATAGGAAAAGGAAGAAGATACAGGAAATATTTTATACAGAAACTCTAAATTATTTTAAGTTCACAAATAATTTTCATGTCAAAATCCAATAAAATGTGATATTACTTTTCTTTATCACTGAAATGCATTCAAGCAATTGTGCACAACTTTCATCAAAATATATTTTACTCTTGTCACATGATTTTGTTTTTGTGCATTTTGGAGATGGGTAGGGCACAACAAGTCATAAGTTTGTTGTATTTTGTCGGATAATGTACAATTAGATGTAAAAAAAAATTGGTCTGGTAAAATTTCATTCGGTCTGGTAAAGCTAGATTGTTTACCAGACCGAATGTGTAGTCTGATCATGAAACTAATTATGTGTTTTTATGACTTGCAGAAACTTTCTACACCATTTTAATCATCAACTACAAACTTTTGACACGTTATTTGCCCTTAAATTAAGAAAAGATTGGTCGAATAGTGACTTTATTTTAGATATACTCTTGCATATAGTTCCTTTCTAAATCAAAATTTATGATGATTTACTATTTATGAATTAATTTGAAAAAGTATTTACATTAATTGAATCAGTTGATAAGAATTTTGAAAGTATTATATTAGTATCTTGTGCTTGTGTGAATTATTGTTCAATGAAATGTAGGTCAACATGTGTATTAATATCTATGTTGATTCCCACACTTTTTTGAAATGGTATTACTCCATTTTTTTTCCTAGGCAAGTAAGAGTCAGAATGATTATTAACTGTCATGATTTTCAAATAAGTATTAATTAGAAACAACCCCAGGCTTAATTCAAAACAGTTAATATCTCATGACCTGTTACATAATTAAATAGACACAATTTGTTACACACCTAACTGAATACACACATTCTTGACCTCTGACAATAGTAAACCTACAAATGTATTATTTATTTTGATCTACACTACATTAAAATATTCTGTTAATTTTGCTAGCTAGCTGAATGATTAATGTGATAAGTTTTTTTTTCAAAGAAAATACTTAAAATGAAAAAAATATGTATAAAAAATGCAAGCAAACTTTATTTTACTTGTAAAATCAGTGCCATTATCATCTGACATAAGTCAATAATCAAGATCTAATTAATTATCAGAAATTTGGTTGAAATATTAAACAAAATTGTATAACTCTTACCTGAGCATTTTCTGCAATAAAATTTATTTGTTTGTCTTACATTTATATCCCATTATATTGCTATTTAACAGTACAGTAATTGGAAATATCTCAGCATTAGGTATTTGAACATTCAGATTTGAATACAGGAAATGTATTTTTTCTTAATGAAGAATGAACACCAGTTTAGATAAAAAAAAAATTTAATTTTTGTTGTTGAGAAAGTGCATTTATAAGGCCTCTTTCTGGAAATTATTAAACCTGTCATTATTAATGGCATATAAAAAATATATAACTTGTTTGACGATTTTCCTTTCCATTCTTGTCAAAAATAAAATCTGACAGAGTCTAAAATTGAAAGATCAGTATATATATCTATATTTGCATCAATATTGCAAATTTCCCTACCTTTGGACAATAACAGAAATTTTATAGTAAGATTGGAAATGAAAAGAGAAAAAATTTAGAAAAAAGTATGGTCAGAAAGAATATGAGACTAGCTATGAATATGGCTGGATCACAACATCAACGATGCTTTGATTTTGGTTCAGTCACTAATGAAAGTGAAATAGTGAAATAATGATTCGCTTTTAGAAGCCAGTTTGGTTCAATTTTGTCAAAATAAGCTAAGAAACATTGCTGATGAATTATTCACTTGCAAGTGAATAATTTGACCTCATTGAATCCGTATTCATGTGACCTTCAATTTAACCCCTTAGCTAGAGTTGGGTTACGCATGTGTAAGGCGTGTTCAGTTATTAAAAGGAAAAGAATGTCAACATTGAAAGTGAAACAATGGTAAACCATTTGATTGACTGATTCGATCCACAAAAACTCATTCTTATACAGGTAAAAACGATGATTAACATATATTTTTAACCTATAATATGATATCAAACAGACATAGAAAAATCAAGTTGCACAAGTTCGCTATCTATTTATATCTATATTTATGTTTATATCGGGTTATATCATCGTCGGCAGTCTTTGGAGGTTACCTCGATGGTTAATTAGATGGTGTCTAGACTAAAATACACACGAAATTCTGATACATATTACAGACCCCATGCATTGTGAATTGTTTATTTTAGACTTTTTATAATTTGGATATACATTTTGGTATGTTATAAATCAAATATGAGAATTTGAGTCAAATTGATGAACATGAATTTGATAGCTAATGCCCCTTTAAATTTAAAATTCCATAGAAAAATAACTTTTTCATGATTATAGATATGATAATAATAACAAGGCTCAAGCGAAGAGGAACTCTCAGCAATTTTGTAGCAGAAGCTTTTTACAACTATTTTTAAATTTGTTTGTACATATAATTGATTGCAGGGAATGCAGGAAGTGTTGACTTCTAAACTTCTTGACATTTACAGGTTAATAGTGCTACTAGTTTTATTGATGGAAGTTTTGTCTATGGGCCAAGTATTGTGCGGACCAATTTTCTGCGACAAGATAGGACTGGGCACTTAGCATCTGGAGATACTTGGGGAAAATACCCAGAGCCTAATGTTGACAGACTACCGTACATGATGTATCCAAGTATTGATGGGAAAATGAGCAATGTTGATAAACTGTGGAGTAAGTATTGTGCATATTGATACTAGTTAACAGAAATGCCATGTTTAAATTGCCGAACTCGTACCTAAAGCAGCATTGGGGTCTGACATAAAAAATAAGTAAATTATACTCATGTCACTCATGGCATTTTGTGGAGTGACTGAAAAAATAAGCAAATTATATTCATGATATTTGTGGAATTGTTTGTGGTCTGGAATAAAGGTGAGAAAATTATACACATGATACTCAAGGTATTGCTGTTTTGAGTCTGACATGAATAAATAAACTATTCTCGTTGCATTGTTGAGGTTTGACATTAAAACAAAGGTAAATTGGAGGGGGGGGGGGATTGTTTTTTTCGATGTGACCTCTTCACTCTCCGGTAATAAATATGTTTTTACTCATATGATTGTTTAAAACTGCATATTTTAAAATTATATAGAAATGGGAGACAACCATGTCCATGAGAATCCAGCAATATTGTCCTTAGGCATCCTGTTCTTCAGATGGCATAATTATCTTGCAACCAAGCTGCACCGAGAGCATACAGACTGGCATTACAGGAAAGTTTTCTACAATACGAGGAGGAAAGTCATTGCTTCATTACAGGTACCATAACAATTCATAGGTTTACAGATATTTATCCAGCTATTTCATTAAGATCCATTGGTTTTAAAAAAAACATAAAATGGGAAATTTTTGCGAATGCTGATTTCAAGATTAAGATTCTTCATTAACAGGGTTCTCACTAAGGTGATTCCATGAGTCCTGGACTCATCATTATAAAACTGGTGAGTTCAAAGATGCATCAAGATTGTAAATTGTTGTATCAACTGAACACAGATATCATCATTTTATAGCAACAGTATAATCAAAGTACTGAAGTACTGAACATCGGATGACCGCAGGTTCTTGTGGATGGTCAAAAGCACATGTCACAGAAACAGATCACATCTCTATACCTGAAACTGAGGTTAATTTAAAGAGATTTTTTTTTCTTATACAAGTTCGTGCTTGGATGATGAATAAATGACAGGAAATTCAACCTCACCGTAATAACTATTATATTGTAGTGATACAAATCAGTATACCTTAGACTATTATACTAATATAATAATAGTTCCAGAGAATACACTGGTTTGTTGTTATATATTATATTAATATTACGGTTGCATGTATATATAATTTTCATCTATTTGTATATCATACTATTCTACTATTATTATAGTGTAATGCAAGTGCATGGTGGACACTCTTCTGTAAAAAAAAATCAAAGTCTTAAAGGCTGTAAAAGCAATTGCTGCCATGTTAATGTTTTGTGGACTTTTATTTTTCATCCATATATATATAAGAATTAAACCTGACAGGACAGGAGTGTTGACAAGTGAGAAGCAAGACGGTTTTAACTTTATATCAATATAAGACTTTAGCAGGAAATCATTTTAAATATGTTTTATATTTTACAAGGAGACAACAAGTTTACCAGGCTAAAGTTGGGGTTAATTATACATGTGCTGAAACATATAACTGAAAAAAAAATCATTATGGATTATCCCCTGGTAGTGTTTGTAACTGGGCAATAATTTCCTTTATTGATTTAATTTTAACCATTTTCATAATTAATTTAAATTAACCATTCAGTTAAAACATTTCAACTTTCCAGACGCAAATGTTGAAAAACGGGACAGAAATAAACATGTAAAAAATAAATATATATTTCAGTTTACCAAAATTATTTTCATAATGTTACTTTGACATCATTTCTTAAAACTAAGTCCCAAACATAATTGCTCAGTTGACATGTGTCATCCTCATGCGATACGAGATAACTATAATTCTGATGCAATCCCGAAAAGGGGGGTCATCACAAACAAACATGACATTAAATTGTCATTATACGAACTAGAACAAACAGCTCTATGTTGCTTTGATATTTATCAATTTTCAGGAAACATGTGAAATAAATTTCAGGTCCATTTCATTATAGTGCCTAACAAGATTGTGTGAGGTAGACGAAATTGACATTAAAACGATCGTATTGTCTTTTGATGTCCAAAAATAGGCAGATCGGACATATAAGGACTTTATCTAATGACTACATAAATTTGGGATTTATTATTATTATAATATTCTAATGAAACTGAAAATTGTATTTTTTTTAGGATAAACAACAATTTTACCTGGCTTAGCCGTTCATAAATGTTTTTCTGCATTTATCTTCGAAAAATGGCGTATTTAATGGAATAGAACGTTAATACAGTAAACTTTCTCTTTTTTCTCCGCAATAGGCTATCAAAAATAATTTATCTAATATGTATGTGGAAAATTATGTGAAAAGATAAAAAGTGGCAATTGTTACCTTTCATACCTTAAGTTTCGTTCATCTGATTCTGACCAATGCTTATATACTAAATATCTATTTATATGCCGCTATTATTGTTGTTGTTACCAATTATGTAAATCAATTGTATCTGATTTTATGCCCTTTATGGGCCCTGTAATTTGGGAAATAAAAAAAAAATCTATTCATTGATAAAACGTAATATGGACTGGTCCAGTGTCCAGTTTGCAGGTCATTTAATTTTCTGTACACATTCATGCACGCTCTGATTTAATCAATATACTCGTACGAAAAAGCATGAACAGTTTGAAGGTAATCTAATAATAACTTAATCCAATCAAATTGCATAAGATTCAATAACAATGTCAAGTCCACATCATAATGAGTAATAGAGGTAAACTGGGTAGGGAGAAAATGACAGATATTTCAAGTTAATATTTATGCAATAACGAATTAAAATTTGTCAACCAAAAGTTTTGCTACAATTTCAAAAACATGTCGTTCTGTATGGGTATAGTTTTCGGATCTTTCATTAGCGTATTTAAGGCTAAAAAAAGTTTGGGCTTCAAAAGTTCACGCAATTATTGACTTTATACAGAAAATTCGTCCTTGTAAAACATTTAATAGTTCACAAATGATACACGATTTTAAAGTAAAATTATTTCTTAAAACACTGCAAAAAATTTCATTCATATTGATAAAGTGGTATCGTCATAAAGTGCGTTGAAATGAACAGTGGTATAGCAAACATCGAATTCCCTCACAAAATGTTATCACACACTACAGTAAGGGGAGTCAGTTAAGTTTGTCTATTTTTAGATACTATACAGGTAATCTTTTGACACTACGTATACAACCTGTGTGACCTGTGTAGTGATTTTGATTTTACGATAATTTTATGAATGAACATGAGCACCTGACCTCTTTCTTAAACACCTATTAAACATATAAAACCGTATTTAATAAGGAGATAATTCAGTCAAATTTTCAGTACTAAATCAACAACTGAAATGATTCCATTTTTTGATGAAACATCGTACGAACGGAGAACGGAATCGCAGGTATAAAAATGCACTTTTTTCCCTTGTAATGACCGCGGATCTATAATTTTTATAGATCGGTTGAAATCCCAAAACTAATTTGCATAATGGAAATTTAGGCGATAGCAATACATCGGAATGACCTCAAGGTCATCCTCTGTAAAAATTAATATAAAATTGATGTCATTTTTTTTCTGTTTTGTCATGGAATAACTAAATAGCAATATCATTTATTCTTCTCACTGTTGGACTCGCCATGGCCAAAAATAGTGAGTCCCTTGACTTGGGGCCTACATAAATCTTAAGTGAGAACCCTGATTAAGATAAAATCACAAAGATGTCGTCTTGAGTAAACGATCTTTAAAGAAGATTAGAATCAAAGACCAGAAAAAAGACAAAAATATAATCACATGAACAGGATTGGAAAGCAAAAATTTAAAATAAGCAAGAAAAAAAACCACCTTATAGTACATGAAGCAATCTATATGAGTAATAACACTTTTTTGGTACATTCTGTAACATAATTCATTGTGCATTACATAAATCTAAGGCTAGTAAATATTTGAGGCAGATTTATTGAAAACTTCTTATAATAGGTAAAACAACTCTCAGAGAGACAAACCAAAGTTCAGGATAAAATGTACTGTAAATTTATTTTGTCCATTTATTATTGATAAAATTGAGAATGGAAATGGGGAATGTGTCAAAGAGACAACAACCTGACCATAGAGCAGACAACAGCCGAAGGCCACCAATGGGTCTTCAATGCAGCGAGAAACTCCCGCACCCGGAGGCATCCTTCAGCTGGCCCCTAAACAAATATGTATACTAGTTCAGTGATAATGGACGTCATATACTAAACTCCAAATTTTACACAAGAAACTAAAATTAAAAATGATACAAGACTAACAAAGGCCAGAGGCTCCTGACTTGGGACAGGCGCAAAAATGCGGCGGGGTTAAACATGTTTTTTGAAATCTCAACCCTCCCCCTATACCTCTAGCCAATGTAGAAAAAACAAAGGTACAACAGTACGCACAGTAAAACTCAGTTTAAGAGAAGTCCGAGTCCGATGTCAGAATAGGAAACAAAAGAAAATAAACAAAATGACAATAATACATAAATAACAACAGACTACTAGCAGTTACTGACATGCCAGCTCCAGACCTCAATTAAACTGATTGAAAGATTATGTCTTCATCATATGAATATCAGGCACAATCCCTCCTGTTAGGGATTTAGTATTATACTGTCATAAAATATATGAGAAGAACATAACCCGTGTCATGCCAACAACTGGTTTTAGAATAAATATGTTTAATTCCGATGCAAAGACCCTATAAGTGAATCAATATTAAAGCCAAAATATGCAATCTTTAATGACCTGACAACAGTATCGTAACTATATCCCTTCTTAATAAGTATGTTTAAAGGTTTTGTTAGCTTTTGAGGTGAATACTGACATTTTTGTGCTTTGTAAAGAATATTACCATAAAAGATTGGATTTGAAATACTCGAACGTATAAGATGTCTGCATGTTGAGTTATATTTACGAATGATGTCCTTATACCATGTATAAAAATTTAGTAAATGTTTTGACTAGTTTATGATATCGAAAACCCTGGTGTAATAATTTTTCAGTAATATATAAATTTCTCTCGCTAAAATCTAATACGTTGTTACATACACGAGCGAATCGTACAAGTTGAGATATATAAACACCATAAGATGGTGACAAGGGAACGTCACCATCTAAAAATGGATAATTAACGACAGTTGAACTATCGAAATGAATGCAAAATTAATTATTGTGATTTAGGGAAATACTGCATACCAATAATGCTTTCAAAATTTAAAATGCAGGTTTCTTTTGGGGAAAACTTTTCTGTCTCAATTTTTGTCTCGCCTTGACGGAATCAAAGAGCAAGACATAGGTATGCTGTTTCCAGCGGTGGTGGCGTCAACAATGTAGTAGTTTGTGATTAGGTCTAGTTCATGGTGAACCACTAGTGGTAGGTCAATGATATTTGGTATGCAGTTGTATAAGCATTGACACATCTCATTACCATGGAGATTATTTGGCCCCGCCCCCTCCGTCAAGGTCTATTGACTTTGAAACTTTGCTTAATTTACATGTATTATTTTGTGATTAGGTCAGTTTATGGGGAACCACTGTGGTAGGTCAATGATATTTGGTTTGCAGTTGTATAAGCATTGGCATATCTCATTTCCATGGAGATTATTTGGCCCCGCCCTCTCATTCATGGTCTATTGACTTTGAAACTTTTGCTTAGTTTTCATGTATTAGTTTGTGATTAGGTAAGTTTAAGGGGAACCGTTAGTGGTAGGCCAATGTTAATTGGTATGCAGTTGTATAAGCATTAGCACATCTCATTTCCATGGAGAATATTTGGCCCCGCCCCCTCAGTCATGGTCTATTGACTTTGAAACTTTGCTTAATTTACATGTATTAGTTTGTGATTAGATCAGTTTAAGGTCAACTGCTAATGTTAAGTCAATGATATTTGGTATGCAAATTTATTGGCATTTGCAAGTATCGTTTCCATGGAGATTATATAGCCCCACCCTCTCATCATGGTTCATTGAATTTGAAAAATTTACATAGTTTAAAAGTCAATGTTTGTGTTTATGTTTGTTGAAAGGGAACGACTTATGAAAAGTCTATGGTTTTGGTATGCAGTTGTATTAGCATTGGCACAACATCTCATTTCTATGGAGATTGTTTTGCCGTGTACCTTCAGTCATGGTTCATTGACTTTGGATATTTGCATAACTTACATGTTAAAGTATTGCTATTTTAATTTCAACATTTGCATTATCAAAATTACAAAAAGGCGAGACATATCTTTGTGATAACAGTTTATTGTAACAATAAAAGAATTGCAAAAATTTCTGAAAATACAGTTAAAATGTATTAATTCTTTTTTCTTTTACAGAAAATAATAATGTATGATTGGCTTCCTGATCTTCTTGGAGTGGGTATCAAGCCATATACAGGTAGTTTTAATTCAGACATATTATCTTAGTTGAATTTAAATGATAAATCAGAAAGTAAAATGCTTTGCTGACCTAATTTGATATAAGTACCTTTAAATTATAATACATATATGTTACGGATACCTTTAAATTATAATACATATATGTTACGGATGTTTTCTTTCCCAATAAAAGCAACACCAATGACTGTAGAACTCTCCATGACAACTTTACGAAGATGCTTAGTGATATTTAAAATAAAAACAAAAAGCTGCATTAAAATCTTAATATTCTGTTTATGTGCTTCCATGCTTCATACCAAATGTGCCTCAATCAAAGCTTTTACATCACAATGAAACAACAAAAGGAGGCATCAAGGTGTTAGATATAACTTTGTTCTCTGATAAATGTATTTATTATATACTTAGTAGTAAATACAGATAAATTGTATGTGTAATACAATCATTGGCAAGCGTGCTGTATCAGCTACCCGTGATGATATCGATATCAGCATGGTTGCAATGACTTTATCACAACCTTAATCTGTATGACGTCACATCATTAATATCAATCACCGTTGCAAAGGCTTTATCAAACCCCTATTTTGTATGACGTCACATTAATGGAAAAAAAAAAAAAACATCTACTTGAAATATATAATAAAATGTATATGATATGACTTTTTCAATATCACACACCGTATCAACCCTCAACCAATATAATCCCTCGAGCAGATCTCTTGGGATTATATTGGTGTCTCGTGTTGATATGGATGTGATATTGAAAAAGCCATATAATATTCTCTAAGTATGTGTTGTAAAATTTAGCATTTGTTATGAGATAATGTTATGCACTGTCTTTCCTCAATAACCTCAAACAGCAGCCTCCACTGAAGATGTTTTGAAAATACATTAAGGTAAAGCATCTTTTTGAAGAAAAAATAGAATCAGGGTATTAAAACCAATCTTGAAAAAAACCCACTGATTTACATTTTACCTGATAAAATAAAATGTAGCATCATGATACCTTGATATGATATACAACTTGGAACATTTATGTAAATTGTCATTTTGTTGATGAATTAATTATTTTGAACTATTATTTTTAATTAAAATGCCTATTTACAGGATATAGGTCATCTTTAGAGCCAGGAATATCATCAGTGTTTGATGCAGCAGCTATGAAGTATATCATGACTTTAGTACCATCAGCTATTACAAGGAGGTAATTTTATTTTTAATATCCATGATGATTTTTATGGACCTACGATAGTGGAGGGGCATTATGTTTTTTGGTACGTGTGTCGCTTCGTTCATCTGTCTGTTCGTTCGTTCGTCTATCGTCCGTTCATCTGTCTGTCCCGCTTCAGGTTAAAGTTTTTGGTCAAGGTAGTTTTTGATGAAGTTGTAGTCCAATCAACTTGAAACTTAGTACACATGTTCCCTATGATATGATCTATCTAATGCCAAATTAGAGTTTTGTCCCCAATTTCACGGTCCACTAAACATAGAAAATGATGGTGCGAGTGGGGCATCCGTGTACTATGGACACATTCTTGTTTAAGGCTAATACAATTAGATTTATTTGAGAGTCAAAACTGAATATCTGAAAAGATCTTTTGAAATAGCTGTAAAACAGGAGACTGGGCACCATGATTGATTCTACATATAACTATGGATTTTATTTTTATCTCTCTTTTTCAGAATTTCTACAAATTTTTGAACACGTTTTTTGGTATATTCTTAAGATAAACATAAATTCTTCTTGTATGCTAAAATTTAAAGTATAAACTTTGAAAGATTATGCAGTTATTACAATAAAAAAAGATTTAATTAAATATATCATGTATATGGAGCTCTCTAAAAAAAAAAATATTATTTTATATTTCAGAAATACTAATTGTAAATCTATTAGTTGGGACAATTATAAAGCAGTTAGGCTGTGTAATTCTTATTTTAATTCACAGGTAAGTCTATAATTGAAAAAATATTAAGTACTTTGTTCTTTGCATTAACATGTTTAATATGTTAAGATGGTGTATCCTTAGTCGATAAGTATACTAAAGTACATGTACTAATTTCTTCATTTCCTGTGGATCTGAATATATGCATATCAATCATCTTTACTGCCAAAAATACACTTTTGTGTCATGAACTATATTAGCATGTTGACTCAAGGCTTTGTCATTAAAACATATACATGTATGGCACTTATAAAGGCACTTTGAAGATTTGAACTGCCTATGGAAACAATAATAGAATTTCACTTATATTTTCACTGTACACAAAAATATTTTACACCCTACTATAGTAAAGATATTCAGTGCCTTTCTTTGGTCCCATATATGTTATTTTTTTAACAGCCTACATATGATTTTGATGAAAAAATAAACACGAGTATTTAACTAAAGCACTACCTTAATTTCAATATAGTTAAACGATAAATGTTTTCTTGTTCTTTTACCTTCTCTTTCTAGACACAAAGTTTCAGTACTGATATATAATTAAATGATCAGTAAGTATTATTGATTTTTACTTCTAGAACATATTACTGAGTAGAGAAGATGGATTGGAAGAAATATTAATGGGAATGGTATCAGAGTCTGCTGAGAAAGAAGATTTAGATATAGTTGAAGATATACAGAGTATGTCTTGGTTGTTAGAATTTGATTAGCTTGTGGCCTAAATTCACAGAAAAAATTGGTCCTTTTCAAGAAACTTAAACCTTATGCCCTTCTACCTATACAGAACTGAAGCCTATGTTTATCTGCAATAGTCATTTCAGCAAAGACGATCGTCTGCATCAAAAAGAACAGAAGAACTCTTAATGAATATGAACAACAGAGTCGATTTGATTAATGCTTGCTTAATGTCCAGTAGCAAATATTTCATGCATACTCAGGATGAGAACAATCTAAACAATTATTTCAATAGATAGGTTCTTAATTGTAGGCCAGTTGGATGTAAAGGCAGGAGGTTTGGACTCATCATTGGACAATGATGTCATGTTTTATAGGGGCAGTTTTCCCCCGTGTAACAGGCCACCTACAGACCCTGTCAATGAACCTTGTTGCAATGGTTCTTTAAGGTACAGAGAGCATGGCAGCGTGGTATTTAAAGTCGGTTGTCCTCATTTTTACTGGATGAAGCCACATATTGATAGATACCACACAGCAAAAGTGACACCCACTTTAGCAAGTGTTTAATAGCCAGGGATGACCATATTTCTATACCCTAATCAATCCATGGAGTTTGAATGAAAGCAGAATTTAAAACATTTTGTTAGCTGGATTCCCTGTCTACCCACCCATAAACCTACAGTCTCACACACACACACACACGGACTTGCTGAAGTTTATAACAAAATATAGTTAAACATTTTTTTTCCTTGTTTTTTATAGGTAAATTTTATGGTCCACTTCACTTCTCACGACATGACTTTGTAGCCCAAACAATAATGAGAGGACGTGATTATGGTCTTCCAGACTACAATACTGTAAGAAAGGCTGTAGGTTTGAAACCTGTGTCAACCTGGGCAGAAATCAATGTAGAATTGAATAAAACTAATCCTGAGGTAATTTCATACATGATAAAGTTTTGAATAAAAAAGTTTGTATTGGTATCAAAATGTGAAATTTTGCAAACTAAAACGTGAAAATTTGAACACAAAAATGTTAATAAAAGTTTACTAAAATCTTGAGGGTAGCATGCAATCTCCAGCAACTGTTTCAACAATATGTGAGTCTAAATCTGACAATAATTGATATGAGAAAACATAAAAAGTGCACCTCCCATTATTGAGGCGTTAAAATATTTTTTCCCCCATTTTTTTTCCTATTAAATTTTAATTTTATATGTTTCCATAATATATTTATTGTGGTCACAGAGTTCGCGAAAATGGTCAGTCCTGTCGGTCAAAATGAGGCTCGGACCAGTATTTTGAAGGCTAGTGCCGGTCCTGATGACCGATGTAAAAACGCCCGTTGTAGTGCATATTAGGCACTTTTTTACATCGGTTATTAGATGTACCGCAACTGTTTCCAATAAGTGTTTACTTCGGTTATCAGATGTACCCACTGCCAATTTCCGGTACTGGTTTACGGATTTATTATAAACAAACCAAAGCGGCGATCTACACGTGGCCTACTAAATTTGTTCATAGAGCCATCTCTGGCAAACAATCGACGATTGAACCCTACAATGGAGCAAACAAATACTGTAACAGCCGAGAAAGTGATTCAGATGATGAAATGGATAGTGAAGATGACTTTAAATAAGAACAATCAGAAGACCTGAACTGGTCCTTCATTGTTAATTTGCCTGTGGGTGCGAAGAATAAAACTAATATTAATAAAGTTATTTTTCGATAAAATATGTTATTAATTTTATTTCAGGATAAAATTGACAGATTTTGTAGGACTGGCTAAAATTTTGTAGGACTGACAAATAATCATGCTTTGTCGGTCCCATGACCGACGGGTCAAAATAAGTTTTCGCGAACTCTGTGGTCATTGTCCTATGTTAACATATATTTCAGATATTTGTTACTGTAGAGAATATTTATAAAGAATTAAAACATCTGGATGTATTTGTTGGAGGGATGTTGGAAACAACACCGGCAGGACCTGGGGAACTTTTCAGAATCATCATCTTGGACCAGTTTTATAGAATAAGAGATGGAGACAGATTTTGGTTTGAAAATAAAGACAATGGGTACAGCTTTATTGAAAAGAAAAAAAAACCACCTAAATTGTATTAAAGTTTTGGAAAGATAAATTGAATTAGTTCTTTTCTTATGAAATTAACGTTCAGCTGAAATACTCCCCCAAAAATTTTATTTAGTTTCTTGAAGCCCAAGTCGAAAGAAACTTGTTCATGAATGACATTTATAAGTCTATAAGCCAAAAGTGAAATGTTTACATACATTTTTTTCTAGCCTGAAAAGAAAGACACAAAGGTGAGACATTATGATCCTAGATTCAAGCATTGTCAACATTTATATTCAATTGGCATTTTAAGTATTTTTTAGAAATAAATAACTTTGTCCAATCTAAGAATTTCATGAAACTTAACATATACCATGCTGGCCGGTTACTTCGTATGTCTTTTGAGGAAGATATTTAGGTATCCATACTTCTATGCACAGAAATTTATATCATACATTTATATTGCAGATTGTTTACAGAGGATGAAGTTGAACAAATAAGGAACTTATCATTGTATGATATCATTGTAAATTCTACAAAGTTAGATACAGACCATATACAGAGAGATGTTTTCACTGTTTCTGAAGGTAATTGGCTTATGATACCAGAATAAAATACAGTTGATAATAGTTCTATTCCAGAGAAAGTCAGGGATTGATTGCATTATAATTAATTATTTATAGCTAATTTATGTTTAAATACTTGTAGTCTTGTCTGTGATGAAAGCCTCATTAAAGCAAGACTAAGTTATGTTGTTGGATTTTGTCTTTGGATTTGACTTGTTAGTAAATACTTATTTTTATAAAAAAATACAGAGTTGTGTAGGGTATAATGGTTTTGACCCGTCCATCAGTCCTGTTCTTGTCAACGCAACTCCTCTGAAACCACACAACAGAATTTCATGAAGCTTTAGTTATAAAGACATACAATGTAGATGTGCATATAGACAGGAAATTATGATTCAATTTTTTCCATGGATTATATGGCCCCACAGTCTCATGGTTCGTTGACTGAAACTTTTGCATAGTTTACAGGTTAAAGTTTGTGTTTATAGATATAAGAAGATGTGGTATGAGTGCCAATGAGACAACTCTCCATCCAAGTCAAAATTTATAAAAGTAAACCATTATAGGTCAAAGTACGGTCTTCAACATGAAGCCTTGGCTCACACCGAACAGCAAGCTATAAAGGGCCCCAAAAATTACTAGTGTAAAACCATTCAAATGGGAAAACCAACGGTCTAATCTATATAAAAAACGAGAAACAAGGTTAGTTTAAAGGGAACCACTTATGATACTGTAAGTCTATGATATAGGGTACGCAGATGATTAGCATTGTCATTTCTCATTTTCACAGAGATTATTTGCCGCTGCACCTTTAATCATGGTTCATTGATGTTAAACGTTTTCCATAGTTTCCTTATAAACTATTTCCATTTTAAAGTCGACATTTGCATTAAGCTATCGTAAGTACATAAAGGTGAGAAATATCTCTGTGTCTACAGTTTATTTGTTATAAGTTTGTAATTCATCCAAAATAAATAGATAAGAATTTTACATGTCAGATTTTATTCCCTAGAAATGCCCTGTAAACCATTGAGGCTCAGTAACAGTGAACTTGAACCTTGTGGAAGTCACCATGGTTATGATTATTTTGCCGGTAGTGAAGTAACATACATCATTATATGGACCTGTTTTGGACTTATACCTTTGGGTAAGTATGTATTAAATTGTAAAACTTACTGTAGTGTTTAAATTGCTTTTATTTAGTGTCAGAGGTGACTTCTTAATATTACCGAAAGGTGCTGTACTATTATTTGTGTAAACATATTAAACACATTACTTTAGGGTAATCCAGAATTTTTCTTGTTTAATTGGCCAATTTATTTATTTTTCATGATTATAAAATCAGATATGCTATGTATCCTATCATAAAAAAAGTGATTCAAGGATAATATTTGTTTTTGTTTTTGAAGGTAAACCGTTATGCAGAAGATGCAAGATTTTTTACAATAAATGCTTCTTTATAAGAGGGGCACCAACATTAAGTACATAAAATAGACATTTTTTAATAAATTGAGAGAAAAAAATGTGGTTTATATACAATGCAGAATTAAAATTTAAGAAATAAACAAACTGACATAAATCCACAAGTTTCATTTTAAAGCAGAGAGAAACAATAAGTAATCAATAAGAATTTTTTTTATATAACTTTGTTTTTCTGTTCTTTCAGTATGTATTCTGTGTGCTTACATAGCAGCTAAATGTCGTCAGTGGAAACATAGTCGGCATGTTAAACGTCAGCAACATTACATTGGCAACCAACAAAGGAATAATGATTTTTCTACTAATAAAGGTAGGTATAAAAAAGAAACTATAAATAAACATATGGTTATTTCAATATTTTTTATTGAAGTGTTTGTTTCTCTTTCTGACCATTGTATTGTTTAGACATCTATAGTTTTTTTAAGCACTTTAAAAAACAGAAATTTTTGTATCTCCTTTAAGACCATCTGTAGTTGAAATCCTTTATCCTAGATGGCCAGCAATGCCATCATTGCCTTTGCATAGTTAGTTCATTTTCAAAAGTTTTTCCCTTCAAGATAAATGGACTTTCCTCTTCCCACTAAAATCTGCAAGAAATATAGATATAAGATGCAGGTCATATGTCAATGAGTCATCAACCCAACAACACAAAAAAAGTTAAGGGCATACTGTAGACAAATGACTGTAAAATATGTTTATCACCAGAGCGTGAATATTAAATTTAACAGAGACTATTAAAGAATCTATCATCAACAATTTTTCCTCAAAGAAGCAAATGTACGGATATAACTACAGACCATCAATTACAAAGTATCAGACTTAGGAATGGTACATGAACATGAGGTAATGGAGGGGAGGGGTGTCTCAATTCTTTTCCTTATTTTCTAAATGAATGGAATAACAAAGTACATTTAAATCTACAATAAAAATCAATACATGATAAGTACTTATCTCTATAAAATTAGTATGATAGATAACAAAAAAACATGACAAGCAAAATAGTGATAAATAATTGATATACCTTATCAAATAATGCTCATGGTTACTGAAAGTAAACTCATAGTACTTTACCTGCATGCCATGTTGGAAGTCTTATTTTACCTTGTCCCTGAAATCAACTATCTGGGGTTCTTTGTACAATAACCAGTGATGGGTACACCACCAAGTTTAATAAAGACTTCTACAGAGTTAGTAAGATGAATATATGTTTTAGAAATGTTTGCTATGAGTGCTAAAAATAGATTAATGAAGGTGTTAAAAGCACATCAATACGATTTTCCATCGCAATTCATGAAATATTAATTGTAGTACTCAATTTCACCAAATTTTTACATTGCGATGACCGTGAGGGCATTCCGATGTATTGCTATCACCTAGATTTCCATTACGTAACTTTCGTTTTCGGTTTGTAACCGATCTATAAACATGATAAATACGCAGACATTAAGGAGTGCAAAAGTAACATTCCTTATCGTTTGTTATAAATACATCTCTTCAATGAATACTGATAAAAATATTTTTGTTTAGAACATAAATTAATAATATGAAAATGTTTTGTCGTTAGGTATATATGTATTAGTAAAAAATCATTGATAATATCTATGCACACGTACTGAAAAATTGTGTTAACGCATGTGGAAGAATATCTCTAAGAATGTTTTGCGGCAATCCCCGCAAGGACCGGTAACTCTGCATGGAAGTTTGTTTTTGCAGGAAAATATGAATGCCTACTCATATCCGATCTTTTAGAGAAATCGAATTTTTACAGAATAGTGTCCACCATGCACTTGCACTGCACTATTATTAGAATAGTAGAATAGAATGATGTACAAATGGATGAAAATAATATATACATGTAACTGTTATATTAATATAATATATAACAACAAACCAGTGTATACTGATTTGTATCACTACAATGTAATAGTTATTACATTGAATTTCCTGTCATTTATTCATCATCCACGCACGAACTTGTCTCAGAAAAAAGATATATCTCTGTACATTAACCTCAGTTTCAGGTATAGAGATGTGATTTTTTTCTGAGACAAGTGCTTTTGACCATCCACAAGAACTTGCGGTCATCCGATGTTCAGTACTTCAGTACTTTGATTAGAATACATCACAATCTATCAAATTTTGAATTTCATGTTTATTGACTACCTCTTACCTGTTAAACAACTGGTATAAAACTCACAATAATATACAAAAAAATGTATTTAATTTTAAAATAGAATAAGTATATTCTTTTATAGAGAGTGAATTTCAGTATCAAGCAAGCGAATGGTTAGGTGCAAAAGAAGATTCCCGTCTTGTATCAGTGCAACTGAAATTAAAATGTCAGCTTAGTGTTCTTAGTGCAAGGGGAACACGTCTTAGGACCATAAATATGGACTTCATAGAAGAGGTTCAAATCTGGATCAGCAACAACAAAGGACAGAAGACTATCGTTGTGAAAATGCCAAAGGAATATGACTTGGTAAATGATTTTTTGTGAAATACTTGAATTCATTGATGTTAACAAAGTAATAAACACTTGAATATGATTTGAGGGTTGTAAAATTTTCTGAGAATTATAGAATTGAAAAAAGTTCTACAGTGAAACCTGGGGAATCAGAATATACAATGAATATATTCTTCTGTAATTTAAGCTGTATTAAATGAAATTCTGAGTCAAGCCAGTTCCAACTTTATTTTACAGTTTGTACTAACTTTGTACCACCATTGTCCCAGGTAAGGGGAGGGTTGAGTGCTCACAAACATGTTTAACCCCACCACATTCTTCATGTGCCTTTACTCAACAATATGGAAGGGAATTTATGTACCATAAAAACAGACTTCTACAGTATTTGTTTTATATTTAAGTTTTTATACATTATGGATTTACACTTTACTTGGATTCTGAATTGTGACTATTTCTTTTAACTATACACATATATTTCAGATTATTTTTTAACCTTTTAAAAGAAGAAAAAAATTATAAGAATTTTGTAGGGTACTCCATTTAGTGGGTAAGGTTAACACAGAATTGAAGTGTTCAGTAAATTAAAAAAAAATCTTATGTTTGTACAAAGAATTTGCTTAAACCTCAATTCCCCATGCAAAATTAGCATCAAAGAAAATAAATGAATTCAGATTATGTCACTATATTGCAGTCAATAAAATAGGATGAAATCGTGGTCTGGCATCGGTGATTGAAATTTGTGAAACTCATTTGATCAAAATTTTTCTTTTATAGATCCTAATTTTTCCAAATTACAACATGCGAACCTCTTTTTTGACAAGTCTGACTTCAACTCTCAAGAGGTATGGTAAAAAGTATACCATTATGGAGATGAGGCTCAAAACAATATATGAACAAGCTGTCACCCAAAAAAAAAGAAACATGCAGTTAGAAAAGTTCTTCAAATCGGTGTTTTCAGAGGTATGTTAATAGAAGTTAAGATATTACAATATATATTTATACCTGAAACTGCAAAACAGATTAACATTTATTGAGGCACTATTGTCCTTCAAAAGTGACAACTTCACTTTTTAAACTTAAAAAAATCATTTTGCTGAAGACCAACATCTAATTCTTTCTATAGTTTATTTAGTGCACATATGAATTATTCCAGTTGTTCATACGGGGATTATGCTTAATTTTGATATTTCATAATTTGTAAAGTAGTTGTATATTTAAAGTTCACTTCTTTGAACAGTTTATAATGGTTTTGAAAATGTGGTATGTATCTTTTAACTTGTGATTTATTGATACTGTCTGAAAATACAGTTTATGTTTTTTAAATTATGAATTATGATACCGTCTCAAAAAAACAGTATAATAACTTAAGCATCATGACAATGAAGATGTAGTATGCACATTTTAACTAATGCATTATAACACTGTCTTGCCAAAACACATTAGTTTCTTCCTAGAGGCACCCGAAAAAGTAACGTAAATTTTACTTTTATTTATGAATCAGATGTTCTTACATGTTTATTCAGCATTTGTAATGAGTCATTGATATTATGAAATTATTATACCCCACGCAACGAGTTGCGGAGGGTATAATGTTTTTGACCCGTCCGTCTGTCCATCTGTCTGTCCGTCCGTCAGTCCGTCAGTCCTGTTTCTTGTCATCGCAACTCCTCTAAAACCACACAACAGAATTTCACGAAACCTTTTTAGATAATAAGGACATACTATGTAGTTGTGCATATCGACAGGAAATTACGATTCAATTCTTTTTCTAGGAGTTACGCCCCTTTGAACTTATTTACTTTAATGTACTACTGCAACAGTTTGTCATCGCAACTCCTCTCAAACCACACAACAGAATTTCATGAAACCTTTTCAGATAATAAGGACATACTATGTAGATGTGCATATCGACAGGAAATTACGATTCAATTTTTTTTCCAGGAGTTACGCCCATTTGAACTTATTTGCCCAATATACTACTGCAACCTTTTGTCATCGCAACTTCTCTCAAACCACACAACAGAATTTCATGAAACTGTGTAGATAATAAGGACATACTACTGTGGATTCATTTATTTTCGTGGGTACCAATTTTCATGGATTGAGGAAAACTTGCATTTTCGTGGATATTTGATTTCGTGGTTTTTCAAAAATCTGTGTACAATCATACAGCAAATTTGTAATTCGTTGAACATTTAAATTCGTGGTTTCCCTGTACCCACGAAACCCACGAAAATTGGTATCCAATGAATAATAATGATTCCACAGTATGTAGATGTGCATATTGACAGGAAATTATGATTCAATTTTTTTTCTGATACAATTTTTTTTTCTTACACTTATTTTATTTCTCCAATGACAATGTGGGGAAGTGGGGTATGTGAGCACGCTCACTAAGGTTCTTTAATTTTGTGAGTGAAAACATTTTTTCTGTAAATATTATTCATTTCCTATATTTCACTGAAAATAAGTTGTATTTCATTCAGGTTTGTTTGTGATTTTTTTTTTTTTTTTTTATAACAATCTTAAATAGTATTTGATGAGCACATGTGAATGACATTACTTAAGTATATGTGCACAAATAAGTATACATCACAAACTTAAAACTGGCAAATCTGTTAATAATTAGTGCACAATTATGTATCCCCTACATTTGATGTGAACAATTGCTTTTGTTCTGTCTGTCCTGCCGGAGCAAGGTTTGAGCAATGACAATTTATTCATCACAACACTTTAACCATGTTGTTAACTGTCAGATTTGATTAAATTTTTCACATGTCGCACACTAGCTTAAGTGAACTCTGATCGATTTACTTGAAAGTTGTCACAATTTTTGGGCTTTATAGTTAAAATATGTTACTTTTTGATTTTGAAAATTTTCTGATGTCTTTCCAGAGTTATGGGGCTTTAATGATCAGATTTAAGGCAATTTTTTGAAATGTCAAGAACTAACTTGAGTATGCTTAAATCAATTAACATCACACTTTATATTGTTTTGTGAACTAATTAGTGAAAGTAAGCTCCCTGTCTATTTTGAAAATTTTCCAATTTGTTATCCAGAGTTATGGAACTTTTATTATTAAATTTAAGACAATTTTTATACACTTAAAAGATATCTTTCTGATATGTAATATATTTGTAGGCATTTGATATGGATTATGATCCAAACTTAGAGGATCATGGAGTAGAGACAGCACAAGTTAAAGAAATGTTATCAATTGAACTCACTAAGGTATTATTATAGGTCTAAATAAATTGGCAAAACACTAAATAAACTCACTTGGGGTGCACTTCATCAAAGAAATCCTGAAGGGATCATTTTAAAAACAAGATGTGCCCTATAGTCTTAATGAGTCAGAATTAAGAACTGCTGTGTCAGCAGTTAATGTCACTGTTTATAGTTGTAATGGAATAACACAGAAGTAGTTTTGTGATAGTATACTTGTAAACAATAGGTAAACATGAATATGATTAATTTCAATTGGTGTTTGGTGTCAGAGGTGTTTTAATTTTTTCAAAATAAGCTTTTTTGGAAAATTCACTGTTGGGAGTAATTCATGTGTCCTCTAATTTTACACTTTATTAATATGATGAGGACTAGTTTGAAATAACCTGAACTACAAAACTTCTACCTTTTTTGGCAAACTCTGTATATCTTCAACTGATATTCAACTAGTAACTAGTGAACAGTTTTTGAAATGTAGACCTTCAATGCATTAGTTAATTTTGATTGGCATTGAAAAAGATGTGGACAAAATATCAAGGCGACAGCAACCAAACCACACAAAAAACTCAAAATTCATCTGCAGGTCAACATACTGTCCTCAACAATAGACAGGTGCCTATACAATCTGCCACACTGTTTACAAGTAACAGAGATCAAGATCTGCCACCAGTACTATTTCCCAAACAAAAGACAACTTCTGATTACTTTGTTGTGTCTGAGGTATTACACAACAGATATAGTCTATAGTCATGAATGCATGCTGTTTATATTTATTTGTTTTACAGAAAGAATTTGCTCATGCTTTGGCTTGTAAACCAGATTCAGTGTTAGAAGAAAACATGCTGTTTACATTTATTTGTTTTTTCAGGAAGAATTTGCTCATGCTTTGGCATGTAAACCAGATTCAGAGTTTGTAGAAAACATGTTTAGTTTGTTAGACTCTGATAGAAATGGTTACATCTCCTTTAGAGATTTCCTCAATGCTGTTGTATTGTTTTCTAAAGGTAAGAATTTTCTCTTTTGCATCCTTTTAAGCTACATTTCATATACTTTTGGAGCCAAAATATTCAGATGCTGATTGATTTATCACAGAAATTGAAATTATTTTGATAATTTTTGCATCACTGTGTAAAAAAATTATATCCTATACAGTCAAACCTGTATTAAGCATTCACTAATGGGAATATTCAGTAGGTTACATCCTATAGCACAATCTTGGTTGCAAACAGGTTCAGATTCTCATTTTTACTTCGATACTGAATACAGGTAGTTTCTCCATGATTATATTGGTAGTAAAAAACATTAAAATGACTGTTGTTAATAGTTGAGTGTGAAAATTAGGTGACAGCTGACCGTGTTAGACAGGTGACCGATAAATTGAGTTAAATTATATAGAGAAAATGTTTTGGAGGGAAAGTGACCGTTAGAGACAGGAGCACTCTGAAATGAGGTAATCATTAAGGCAGGTTTGACTGGACATGGAAATTACTTCTGGTCTGGGAAATACTTTTAAGGTTACATAGGCAGAGGTTTTAAATAAATACATGTAGCTTAACAACTGATGAGGTCTTTCTACCAATTCTATCATTTGTTTCCAAACAACATGTAGTCAAACTGTCTGAAATTCTTTAACCTAGTACAAACATGACCAACAAACACATGATGCCCTCATCATGGTCATTGAATTTCAAGATCAGATGGGGAAAAAAACAACAAACACATGATGTGCTCATTGAATGACACGATTAGAGGCAAAAATAAAAGACATAATTCCATGTCCTAATGTTTTATTTATGAAACAGACTACATCTACATAAAACTGTCTGCTCATTATAAGTCATGGTTAAAAAAAAAAACTAAAAAAAAACATCAAATGTTAAAAATTATCTAATTTAATTCCAGGGACTTGCCAGGAGAAACTGCACTTACTCTTTAGAATGTTTGATATGGATGGAAAAGGATGCCTGCAAAAGGAAGAGTTATCGAGAATGTTTGGGTTAGTTTATACTTGATTTTTGCCATAGCATTTACCAGATAAGAAACTCTGAAATCTAACAATAGCAATGTGGCAAAAATCTATTTCTGCAGTAATGCCCTCCTGCTATAAATTATAAGAAAAACATGTCATTAATGGCCATACAGAAAGATAATTAATTCCAGGGAAAACATAGCTTTAAAAGAAGTATGACATACAAGATATTGATTTAAAAAAAAACACAAAAAGCTGTAATAAAAAAAAGAAAAAAGGTCATGTATAAATGTAGTAATTAGAAAAGCAAAAATTTTCACAATTACAATCCTATTTAAGTCACGATTTACAAATAAAAAAATTCTTCTGAATCATTTGGAAGATTCAGTTCACCAATCTGAAAGTGGTGTAAAAAGAATAGTGAAAAATTGCAAAAGCAAACCAGTTAGAATACAATGAAGAAAGAGTTTCTGACTTTTTGACCATTCCAGTCGCATAACTGTGGAAGAACAAATTTGAAAAATCTGAAAATAGCTTGATTATAAATAACACAGTTATGAAAATCAGTAAATACTAACTAGTACACCATTGCTGAATGATGAAAAGACAAGTGATTACTACAGGACAGCCCTCCACCCCTATGAGGGAGTTGTCAGCAGTGCTCACAAGTGTGACAAAAATTGTCATGTATAACAATTGTAATCAAGTTATCATAGTTTCACTGTAGATATATTTACAGTAACAATTTGCCTCTAAAACCAATAAGAATTTTTTATGGTAAAAAATTTATGGTATATCTTAACATGTATAATTCCTGAAAATTTCTACCTCAAGTATCATTTAATACAAAAGATCCACTTGATAATCATATTTCTGTAGGGATAATGACAGATTTTTTGTAAATTTAAAAAGTATGATTTATATTAAATTATTGTAGTTCTTTGTTGGAAATGGCAAACAATAACATTAGCAAACCAGATTTAGAGAGTGTGGTGGAGTCCATGTGTTCAGAGAATGGATTAAATGACCAATCATCTTACAATTTTGAGGATTTTTGCCAGCTGTTATCACCACAGATGGATAAAATCTGGAATGCTGGATTAGAGTGGAAAGGTATTCAAGGGGTTATTGAATTAACAAGGTGTCTGTTGTACTTCTTAATAAAATATTTATTCCACAATGTTTCCTCCTATAGTCTATGGACGTTAAGCAGCCACCCATCCATCCTATTGTCTACAATTGGTATTTTTTTAATGTGAGATGGTTAAAATTGAAATATTACTTTTTAGGATAAGTCTGATGAAGCAGAGACATTTGAGGTCATATGTCTAAAATGTTTACATGACCTCACTTTATGCCTGTTTTATTTTCTTTCTGAAACTTAAGTATTTTTCTTTTCTTCTGATACCAACTTTGATAGGAATAATATGTATTTTTAGTGTCTTTTTGAGTTTCTGCCGTGTGATTAATTTTCGGCTTCATTGCTCGTCAACTTCCTGTTTACCGAATACTTTTATACTATGGATTCATTATTATTCGAGGTATATCAATTTAAGTGGATTTCATTTGCAAAGATGAACATTCAATTTACATGTTCCATCAAAGTTATAATTATAATAAGCTTTAATGCAAACTTAACGAAAACCAAGAAATCAAGTATCAACCTCAATCCACGAAAATTGGTACATCCAAAAAATTAATGTACAGTATTCATACAATTTCTCAGGAGCTACAATTCAAGGCTTTCTGAAAATTTGAATAGCGTTTCATGTGAGCATGCTATAGTGTGTGATGCATTTGTACATCAATCACTCATCAACTTCCTGCTTTCTGAATAATGGATAAAATTGTTCATAGTTCAAATTTTCTTTCCCTTTGAGGTGTTCCTTGTTATAGACTGGATTATACACTATTGATTTTTTATAGGTAGAAAAAATTGTTACCCATCGAATGACAAGAAAAGAATGTAAGTACTGCTCAATATTTGAAATTGCATGTGTGTGATTTATTATAAACAGAAACAGATTTTAGTGTTAAATACCATTTTATAATGTGTTACTGTACCCTTGTTTTATATAAGGCAAAAAAATGTTTGTTTATGGTTACCAACCCTCATTTGGGGAAGAAAGTTATCATATTGTAATTTTTGGTGGTGAAGAAATTTTTGCACGGAGAGTCTAGTAAGGCACAAAACTCAGTACACTTTTGTGATTACTGAATGTTTATGGTTCCCTTTTAGGGATTGTCATCTTGATAGACAGTTATTACTTTTCAGAAACAGCAACTTGCAAATCATTACTGATCATCATAACTTTCAAGTCTTTCTGGCAACAAGCTTCTTGGGTTAAAAACATGCTACTCAAAATGAAATGAACCTGACATCTTTAAACTTGTAGAAAGAATTGTGAACAGACATTTTTTCATTGCCTAAATAGATTTTAAACAATAATACCATCAATATATTGTGATATCTGCATGTATAGAAAATGTAACTATAAAGCATGTTTATATTTTGTTTAATATTTATTTTTTGACATACAGTACTTTCTTGAATAGTAACACTTAAATTTGATTTGAAGTGAATTAAGTTTTATGATATTTTCACATAATTTCAATAACATGAAGAGAATTGGCTTTTAATTATTGGCTTTCAGAAATATTGAAATAACTAATATAATTTGATAATAGTTACTACTTAATTGCAGCAGAAAATCCCCCAAACCATCACCAAAACCTTCTCCAAAAGCTTCACCTAAAGCAACTCCGAACGTATCACCTAAACTTTCTCCTAAATCATCTCTGAAAAATTCACCTTATCCAGACAAGTAAGTAGAAAACTGCACAGAATTCCAATTTGTCCGGGCAAAATCTTGATTGTTTGATATTTCTTTTTTATAAATTAATTATTTTTTTTTGAATGAAAGATAATTTTTGTTTTAAATTAAAATCAATTATAATTGAAAACTGTTGTGAAAAAGGTCTGCTCATCCTTAATTTTCATTTTAGAATTTTAAGAAAAATTTTATCCTTAAATAAATTACTATCTGTTTATTTTACCTAATGTAAAACTTAAACAATTTAAAAAATAAAATACTGTACCAATTTGTATACATAGAAAGGCTAGTTCTGCAATAACTTTACAAAGTGAAGGAAATACCACTTTAAAAGTACCAGATGTTTTGTAAGTAAAAACTCTTTTTTTGCTAATGGATCATAAAAAAATATTATGTTCTGCATATAGATCTGCTTCCTATGAGAATATATATTTTTCAATTTCATATTTATTGCATGTAGATGTAGGTATCATATTCATATTAATGTATAAAATCAGATAACATTCTTCGTAGTTTTAATTAGACAAAATTTATCTGCTTTCATTAGTTTTATCAAATTAACAAACTTTGAATTCATTTTGTAGAGATGTTGTATTTGTTAACCTCAACAAGTGAAATCTACACTACTATATTTATATCTGTTTACACATTTACATATGACCAACAATATAGTTACTGTGTTTGTTGTAATCATTGTTTTTTCTGTACACTCTTTGTGCTTTAAATATATAGCTAAACGATTTATAGTAAAGAGATAAATTTTGTTGATTGAATAGTGAATTAAAAATGGAAGAAGTAAACACTACTTATAAAGCCTCAAACCTATACAATGTTTCAGGACATCAATTATATGGTATACAAGGCTTAAACCCAAACCTATACAATGTTTCAGGACATCAATTATATGGTATACAAGGCTAAGAAACAGATAGAAGGAAAGGCTTTCCTAAATTCTGAAATAGTTTCTCTGGCTAATCTTCTTTCCAAAAATTTATATACTCCTTTAAATGTTTGTCTCTTGAGATTAAAAAAGATGTTTAAAAATACAGAATTTTCTTTTGTTATGTGAGCTCTCAGCAGGAACACCCAAAAGAGTTTTTGGTTAATTGATTGAAATATTTCATGTTCTTAATATTCAAATATATTGAGACAATTATCCACCAAAAGACAAGGATGTAAACAAGTATTTTATATTCATAGAAATCCAGATGTGTATGTTTGTTGGTTCAAATTTTGATAAAACAGAAATCATTTAAAAAACTAAATGTATTCAATTTAAATTGTTGGCAGTTTTCTGTTAGACCTTTTATGTTTTAATCCTCTCAATGTTTTATATTTCTGAATTTCTAAATTTCTAAATTTCTAAATTTCTATTGGTATCATACATTTTTTTCTCTGTAAAGTTATGAACCTACTTATTGTAGAAAATATTGTTTGATTCACTAAATAACAATTTGAGGATTTTGAAAATGTTTCTTTTTTCTGTATCATTGATGCAGTGGAAAGTTATTATGACAAAAGCACATTCCCAGCTCTGGTGTTAGATGGTAAATGTATCTTATTATGATAAGTGTTTACTTTCATTTCAGTAAAAAAAGATTTTGGTAATTGTAAAAAATATATGAACTTTGCTTTATTTTACTTGTTAAACATGCTTGAACAACATCATTTCCATACTTTTATTCTGAACTTCTCTGCCTTTCAAAATTGGAGGTTTTAATCCTTTAGAAAAAGGACTGGTTTTCAGACATTTGGAGAACTTTTTCTTCATGGTTTATTATTTGTGCATAACAGGTATTACTTACTAATGGTGTTTTCAAAATTCCTTATTATTTCATATGTGTTGTTTGCTATACAATGAATATGAATGATATATTTCCCAATGGACATTAAGCAAACAACAATCAATCAATCTTATGATCGGTGTCTGACATATTCCATTTTTCTTTCACCTAAAAGACCATCATGATATTTTTTTAAACATAATACCATTATGTGATCAAGACATTTCTGTGTGTCAACAATAAGTTTTAGCCAACCTACACAAACAAGCAGTGAAATGGGCCTCTATTAGAAAGGATCTACATTTGATTGTACCATTTTATAATTGTAAAGGTTGTTTTATTCAGTTAAAGAACTTGGTACTCTGAAATCTCTAGCACCTGTTAATCATCAGTTTACTGTGAGAAGTGAGGATCAACCTTAAAAAATTGAAAAATTATTCAAAATAGGGAGGATTTAGGGATCTTACTTTACTACAGATATAGATTTTTAAGTGATATTTGAATAGTTATTGACTTTAGATTGTTATTGCACCATGTTTTTGTCCAAAATGCTTCTACACAAAATTATTTACACAAAACACCTGATCAATATTTTTTAAGGTTTTTTTTTTAATATTGATATAATGTCTGAAAACCAGTCTGAAGCTAGTATAAGTTCATTAGGACCACTGAAATCAGTTTGTAGCCAGATCCATTGTCAGTTTAATTGTCAAGGACCAGTTGAACTTGAAGATCAAACATCCTAATGTTTTGAATACAGTTAATTGTGGTAAAATACATCTAACATAAAAGTAAGGAGATGTGGTATGAATGCCAATGAAACAAATATCCACAAGAGTTGAAATGACGTGGATACATGTCTTTTTTTATACCAATGCATGTAAGAGTGGGGTGAAATATAATGAAGCACATAGCCGTCCGTCCAAAGTTTGGTTTCTGAATGATAATTAAAGTACTGCTTGACAAAATCTTGAAATTTTAATACAATGTTATGGACCATAAAATACAGTCAAGATAATTTTTGATGGTTTTGACATTTACCATTCAAGAGTTATTCCCCTTAGTTACTTTAAAAATTTGGTTTTCTTCATTTTCCAGATGACATTGAAAATAAAAATTGACTTAATTGAACTTGAGCACAATGTCATGGACCATAAAATACAGGTCAAGGTTTTAACATTCACTGTTAAAGAAGAGTTATGTCCTTAGTTAATAAAAATTGGTATCTCTTTGATTTCCGGATTATCAAATTTAAGTACAACTGAAACAATTCATTTGAAATGTGAACACAATGTTGAGGATCATGAAATAAAGATAACTTTTCATTTTTGTGGTTTTGACATTTACTGTGTTAGAGTTATGTGAATTTAAGTTATCATTAAACTAGATGTATTGAGGGATTCAAAATGATTATTGAAGTACCATTTGAACAAATCTTTTGAAATTTGAACAAAATGTCATGGATCATAAAATGCAGGTCAAGTTTGATTTTAATGATTTTTACATTTACCGTTCAAGTATTATTCCCAATAGTTAACTAAAAGTTTTTTTTCTATTCCCTAGTGATAATGAAAATTCTGTTTGACAAAATCGTTTTACATTTTAGAACAATGTTATGAAACATGGAATACAGTTCACATTCAATTTGAATTTTGGTTTTAGTATTCCCTGATAAAAATGTTTTCTGCCAAAATTTGATCATTTCAAATTCTAAACATTTGTGAAACTTCAATAGTTTGCTATGAGGATCACCCAATGAATCAGACTTATAAATAACCTACTAAAATTGAGATTTAACTTAAGCAGAAATCTAAAATTTCGTTTGAAAATGTCTTGAATATGCTCATTTTTTGTAATTCAACAAAATTAGATATATTCAAAATGTCAAATAATTCTGCCAACATAACTTGAGTGTGATATAATTTAATTTTACATTTAGTGAAAACCTTTTAATCTTTAAAGGAGCTGCTATCAAATTTGTTTTGTTTTGTTTTCAATTTTGAACTTTCAAAGTAACAGAAAAGAGATTGTTACCCCCAAAAGGTTTATATATCCCTACTGAATCTGAACTTTTACCTAAACCATAAAAAATTGACTAGGATGTTTGATCTTTTCTTGGGTCCAGGAAATACTGAGCTTGAAACAGATGTGATCGTATGGTTGACCTTAACATGTGAATCTATTATCAATAACAGTTCAAAATATTATTAATGAATAACTGGAATAACTACTACTATATATATGGAATGAGATTTGAATGCATGAAATGATATATATGTCAAAATAAATACCTGTACTGAAAATCATATATTCATAAAACGTTAGTTTTTGGTACAGTTGCAATTATTTGCAGAGCTCCAGATATATCTTTAAAATATTGCAAAATATTTTAAAAGTATTTGTTAGCATTGCGAATTTTAGTTAACACTTTAGTTATTACAGCAAAAAGATTAAAGATACTACTGTCTATTAAAGAAAATAAGTCAACAAGTTCTGTTTATATGATATATAAATATATAATAAAGAAAGCATTCTGCTTGCTCTTTCTTCTAAATATTATACAAATGTAAATTGCTTATGTGCAAAACTTGGGACATTTCAGGAATTGTTTGAAATTTGTGAAGGTTAAAATAATAGATGAAAGATCGTTGACCATAAAAAAGTTGTAATGTGAAAATTTATATAATAATGATACTTTTTCAATTGTGGCATAGCCATATACTGTTATATGAAATATCATTTTGTTAAAAAAGATTTTCAGGAAATAACCTCTATTTAAGTTTTTTGTCTAAAATGAAGACTAAGAGCAAATTAGGCAAAAAATGATAAGTTGAAGCTATTTTTTGTATAGATATTTTATAACATGCTACGAGTGATCTCAGCAAAAATTGGCCTCTTAAATTGTATAGAGTAAATGTATTTATTTTATATAATTTTCATAGGAGTATTGATATTGGAAGACGAAAATCAAATACACCTAACATTGAAAATCGTAGAAAATCCAGTATCCAGCCTTCAACATGCAGTGATGATAGCCGATCAAACAGTCTCAAGTCCAGTAATTTGAGTGATGCCAAGTTTATAGCTGTCAGGGAAAAATATTCACCATTAAAGTCAAAGCTGAAAACAGTAGCACACTTTGTGGAAAATAACAGACAACATATCTTCTTTCTTGTTCTCTTTTTTGGGATATGTCTTGGATTGTTTACAGAAAGGTTTTACTGTAAGTATGAGTATACTTAGTTGAATAAATCTAAGATTGTTTACAGAAAGGTTTTACTGTAAGTATGAGTATACTTAGTTGAATAAATCTAAGATTGTTTACAGAAAGGTTTTACTGTAAGTATGAGTATACTTAGTTTAATAATCTAAGATTGTTTACAGAAAGGTTTTACTGTAAGTATGAGTATACTTAGTTGAATAAATCTAAGAGTGTTTACAAAAAGGTTTTACTATAAGTATGAGTATACTTAGTTTAATAAATCTAAGATTGTTTACATAAAGGTACAACTGTGTTTAATGAAAAGTTGATTATGTGTCTCCGTAATGTAACCAAAATGCTCCAGTCCTATACAGTTCTAGTTTGCTCTGCTGGCCTTTTTGAAGACTTAATTGTTGGGGCTGGGTGACTTCAGAGCGCAGTCCATATAGTATTCATGTGACATTGAAATTCCTTGTTTGACATCAGAGATTTTTATTATCAGTTTTGTAATTGATTATCTGCACTGAAAATTACATAATTGTTGCCATTTTTTAATGACATTTCAGCCACTGGCCTCCTTCAGTTTCTTTATTATCCTTATAACCTACAAAAAGGATGGAAGATTATTTCTAATTACAAACACTCGATCATATACAGCAAATATTTCCAAACTATTTGCCATGCTTCTTTACAATTATTATGTGATATTATAATAATAAAATGTTACCAGAATGTATACAGAGCCTGGCCAATAAATAATACGTTGCCCCTGAATAGGTACATTCATACCCAGGGAAAAAACAAAATTTTTATCACAAGGAAAATAAAATTAGTCTAATATACATGATGTAAAAATTATTTGTTTTAATTTTTACATTGAACTACAAAAATAACATACTCCTATTTCATTATAGATTACACAGTTGAAAGAGAACACAGTGGATTACGGGCCCTAATGAGTTACGGTATAAGCACCACCAGAGGAGCTGCTGCAGCAATGAGTTTTACTTTCTCATTGCTATTACTTACAATGTGTAGGAACATGATCACATGGTTACGGGGAACATTCCTGAATCTTTACATTCCTTTTGATTCTCATGTTGCATTCCATAAAGTTGTTGCATGGTCAGCTTTATTTTTTACTGGTAAGGACATTTAGAATTTGGAAGAACAGTTGATGATAGGTGTATTTATGCATGGCTCAAAATTAGCTGTCGTCTGGTTGTCATAGACAACTTAAAGTTATTTAACTGTTAGGTTGTCTGGATTTATGGCCAGGCATTACAAGAAAAATCGTGAAATATTTCACCTGAGAATGAAGCTTTCCAGTATATCTATATATCACAAATTTTGTTTAATTAACATTTCTGATGTGTTAACAACCCATTGTACTTTCATTTTCATCGACTATTGCGATGCATGCATAACATTTGATGTATGTATGTTCTGTATGTTCCTCCTTTTACTAGGAGCACTGTTATTGTTATGATCAACGTTTTTTAATCGTGTCCGTCAAGAGTTAGGTAATTTTTATTCCCCCTCTGCTACCATTACGGTTTTCCATTGTCCGTCCATACATATGTCTCGAAATTGGTATCCATTCTCTAACTTGCCTCAACCAAATTTTATGAAGCTAAAACACAATGCTTATTACCACAAATCTCAGATAAGGTTTGAACTTGGGTTTCGTCACTTTTACTGTTCTGGAGTTATACCCCTTTACAAATGGAATAATTGCTGAATTTTTTTTTGTTTCTGTTCTCTAATTTGAGTTTGCCTCAACCAAATGTTATGAAACTTAAACACAATGTTTATTACCACAAAACTCAGATCAGGTTTCAATTTGAGTGGCGTCACTTTTACCGTTGAGTTATGTCCCTTTATAACGTTATTATGCAAGCGGGGGCATCATCTGTGTCCCATGGAAAAACATTAAAAAGAAATAATGCTAACTGTTGAAATATTTTTTTAAGGATTACATGTGATTGGATATAGTATTAACTTCTACCAGCTAGCCACACAACCAACAAAACATTTGTGTGTATTTGACTCTATTGTTCTCAGGTATGTTAAATGATACATGTTATTTAAATTGGTGCCAAATTTTAAAACTTTTTCTTTTATACAAATTGTATTGCAAAATCAAAATCCTGCAACTCAATAAATTGTAACTTTACACAAGATAGATTTTGAAGTATTTACCTAGCCAGAAGTCATATTTTTCTGTATACAGTTATAGCTCATCATAAGAATAAAAGAATGGAGAGATGCTTATCACAAATGTCTATTTTTTACTACTTCCAATAATATTTTACAAAAAACACTAATTTCTCTATTTTAACTACTGTTAATTCAGAAATTATTGTGTGCATTTATTATTGCGAATTTTTCAAAAAAAAAACAATAATGCAAGATTAATTAATGCAATTTTAGGAAAATCTGGATACAGATATATGTATTAGATATCAGAATGCGAGTTTTTATTATTGCGATAATCACCCAATCACATTATTTACATTTATAAAAACCTTGCAATAATTTCTGAATTTACAGTATTACACTTATGCAAATTCAGTTAAGTTTTCCTTTGTCTGTTTGACTAGAAGTACCTGAAATAGTTGCACATTGTAGGTATCAAATTGTTCAATATTCTTTGGCAAATTGTCAATTTTTGATTGACAGTTAAAAGGACACACATGATACATGTGTATTATAGAATATTGAAAAGATATAAACGCTGTGATTATGAATTTACAATTTTAACACTTCACATTAATTCTAACAATAAAGAAAGCAAAACAAAATAAAAAAATGTTGCAAAAGAAAAATAAGTAATATTTATTATCTGTTTTTCAGAACTGAAGCTCTGCCAGGTTTTGAGTTTTGGTTCTTTGGAAATATGACTGGTAAGTTATTTTATGGAAGTAAACCCATCTATATTGAGTAAGAGCCATGTTATTATAAGCACTGAAATGAATTTTTTTGGACTATCAGTCATCAAATCAGTCTTCTTGGAATGCCTACATTTTATGAAACGGTGTCCTAGAATGCTAACACTTCTCAAATGCCTCTTGTTTTATGGGAAATGAAAATGTGTTTTTTTAAACAGTTATAACATGTATAAAAAAACATTTCATGGTTTAAATAAAAACACTTTTTGATAGTGGGGGAGATTATTGAGATTTTGACCTTCTTAGTTGGAGACCTGTCTAAAATGGAGATTCAATCTCTCCCCTAAAGGGTTATGGATAACAACTATAATTTTTGGACATACACTTGAAGGGTTTAACATTTATTAGTTACTGTAGCAACTGATAATTTTAACCAAATTTGATTTATTGTAGGTTGTACTGGTGTTTTGCTTGTGGTGGTAATCTGTATCATCTATGTGTTTGCTACGCAGGCAGCCAGACAGTTTATATTCAATGGTTTTTGGCTGACACACAAACTCATCGTCGTCATGTATATTTTGACTATTCTTCATGGTGCATCAGTGATTGTACAAAAGCCCATGTTCTTTGTCTACTTCATTGTACCGGCCATTCTTTTTGCCATGGATAAAATGATTAGCTTGAGTAGGAAGAAAACAGAAATTACAGTAATCGGAGCCGAAAAGCTACCATCAGGTAAGAACACCACCAATAGTTAAAATAGTTCTTGAAAAAAAAGCATTTTTTTATATAATGCTGTTCCATTTAAACATGCATGGTTTCCAGGCAAGATTCATTCAAAACAGGGTTGCCACCTAAAGAGGTAATTTTAGAATTTCATACATTTTCAATGTACAAAAAGGTATTTTCTACCCACCCATAGTTGACACTTCAAAGTTCTTTCCCTGGGTCCAATATATGTTTTTATGGAACAGCCCTTAATAGATGTAACTGTATGCAAAAGCATTATCATGTTTTTTTATGTCTTTGATTTTTGGTACATCTATTAAATGAAGTGTGTTTATTTATATTCACAATTTAATGATCAAATTGTTCATGTTTCACTGTAGGCCTCTTACTCTTTTAGTAATCAGCCATTCTACAGACATTTTAATGATTTGAGTGAAGGTTGTACATAAAGATGTCCTATGCTTGTTTCATCAATAAAAAAAAATCAGAAATTTTGCAAAAGATAATAGTTGCTTTAAAGGAACATTCTATAACAATTGTTTATACTTTGTAGACATCACTTTCCTTGAATTCAAAAGACCATCTAAATTTGAATACAAATCTGGTCAGTGGGTGAGGATTGCCTGTCTGTCACATGGCAGAAATGAATTCCATCCATTTACCATAACGTCTGCCCCACATGAGGATACTCTGTCTCTACACATAAGAGCTCTAGGTCCATGGACCTGGAATATCAGGAACCTATTTGATCCTGAGAGCCTCAAAGACGGACCTTATCCAAAGGTAATTTAAACGTTGAATAATTTCAAAGGTGGTTGTTTAAGTATTATTAATGAAGATAAGTTGTTTAAAGTGACTTACTTGTATTGTAGTAAATTGAACACAAGATTGTATCATACTTATTTCTGCACCTTACATTTTTTAACAGACTGTATACGTGAAAATATTTCTACACATCACCTATGGGTAGGAATACATTTGAAATAATTATTTCACAAGTTATGGCAACAATACCTAACTATAGTACAAAACAGATTAAAATTCTTACTTTTGGGACACTTCATTAAAAAACAACAACAAATTTTAAAAGGCATGAAATAGAAGATGCAGTTCCCTGTCACCTTTTAACTATTATCTTGTGATGTTACTTGATCTGTCCATAAATTGCCTTACAGTTGTAACTTACTAAATAAATTGTTGTCAGGAAAATATTCAAGTATTACTTAAAACTAAATGCCTTCATAGTTTCTGTTCTTATTCATGTTTCATAGTAAAAGCTTCTATTTGCAGCTATTTTTGGATGGTCCCTATGGAGCTGGACAACAAGATTGGTACCAGTACGAAGTGTCTGTATTAGTAGGGGCAGGTATTGGTGTTACCCCATATGCATCCATTTTGAAGGATTTTGTTCACATGGCACAAATGCGCAGTACATACAAAATGAAGTGTCAGAAGGTATGTTTTTAAGAAAAGTATATGAATTTAATACATATTTTTATTTTTTTAGAATTCAAATAAAAATATCCTTCAATTTCCCCAAAAATTCCATAACACAAGTATAATTTTTTAAACATGAATTTTCCAAAACTGTCTCAATACCTTCTCTAAAAAAATTTAATGGCTTCAATGAAAAAGAAAAAGATATCAACAAAACATTGCATGCTCTTTCTTGTCATCTAAATGGTTTTAACATAAAGAGAGGAAATAAAGTAGTAATAAAAATAGCTTGTGATTAACAACATACAAGATAGAGTTTTTACTGCCATTAAACCTTACCTTGTCTATAAATACATTAAAAGAATTTATCTTATTTTTGTGTAACTAAAAATCAATATAATTGATACCAGACTGTAGTCTTATTTATAATTTTCTGCCTGATTTGATAATATTTTAATAACTGTAATGTTATTGTAAATTATCAAATTCCAAAGAAACTTTTCTTCCTTTACTGTGGTTTAATTTACCCTTTCATTCTAAACTTCAACTTATTAGAATTGTACAATGTATTGTAATACATATCTGCCAATAAGAAATTCACAAGATACTTGTGTTGAATTGGAAAGTTTTTCTGTAATTGGTTTTTCTCAAGGACTTACTTAGAATAGTTATATATATTATTTGTGATATAAGTGGTAGCAATTGAAACCAATTATTGAAGGCAGTTGTATTTCAATAAAGATAAATATCTTCAGGTACTATTTCATGATCATATTTATAAACAGATTTTAACACACAAAGTAAATCATTGAACAAAACATATTTATGTCAAGAAACATTAAAGAAATTGATGGACAAGTTCATAAAGTAATATATGATAAGCATACTTTTTTTTTAATATTGTTTCTCGTTATCATTACCCTGATAATTAGATACCGGTACATTATTACTACTTCATGACTGTCAGTGGAGGAAACAGCCACCCAGGATACACTTTGAATATTATAAAAATAAGGAGAGGTGGTATGCTTGCTAATGAGACAACTATCCACCAAAGTTCAAATGAAGTGAATGTAAGCAATTATAGGCAACCATACAGCATTCAACAATGAAAAAAAAAAACCATACCATATAGTTGGCTATAAAATACCTCGACTTTGATTATGATTGTTTCATACTTCAGTCAAAGATGCCTAATCTGAACCCAGAGTAAGGGGAACTTTTGCAGCAAGACAAAAAAATACTGTAAATTCAAAAAGTTTTGGAATAATTTTGTAATTGGCGAATTGCAACTGGATAGGTTTTGAGAAACATAAAACTCACATGAAAAATTTTGATAGCATTATTTTTATGCAACATTTCATGAAATCGTAATGGTAAATCTCACATTTTTGTAACAATTGCAATAAATGCACACAGAAATTTCTGATTTTACAGTATTCTTAGTAATTTATTTAAACTGTGTAGCAGATTTCCAGATTAACCCAACAAAGACCTTAACCCCAACTAAGTTTCAGTTAAGATAGATTTCATTGTGTTTGAATATAATGACCATAAACTATATGATACAATTCCTACTATTTACAATAAAAATTCTACTAATTGATAAAATATTTACTGTATTTTCAGTTATATTGTATATGGGTAATACATTTACTGTATTTTCAGTTATACTTTATATTGATAACACATATACTGTATTTTCAGTTATACTTTATATGGGTAACACATTTACTGTATTTTCAGTTATACTTTATATGGGTAACACATATACTGTATTTTCAGTTATACTTCATATGGGTAACACATTTACTGTATTTTCAGTTATACTTTATATGGGTAACAGGAAGTCAGAGACATTTTGAATGGTTGTTGGACATCATCAGGGAAGTAGAAGAGGTTGACCAGAAGGGCATTGTCTCTATTGATATATTTATCACCCAGTTCTTCCAGAACTTTGATCTCAGAACTTGCATGCTGGTAATTATGATTTATTTAGGCAGAAATTCTCATCTTACCTCATTGCAGAACATATCCTTATCAAAGTGTCAAGTATTTGGGATCAACAGCACTTTTCTACATGAAATACCAACTTATGGGTAATGTCATTTGACTATAGGTTTTCAGCAGGGTGAAGAGGTCAAAAAGGAGCAGTGGTCTATTTTTATGAGTGGAAATCTATTAAAATCATTCCATTTGCCTAAGCTATAAACTAGAAAGATGTCATATGATAACACTTTTTCAACCTCTTTTTATTATTATACCCCACTTTAAAAAAGTGGGGGTATACTGTTTTTATACCCCCACTTTAAAAAAGTGGGGGTATACTGTTTTACCTCTGTCTGTCCTTCCGTCAGTCCATCCATCCATCCATCCGTTAGTCCGTCCGTCCCATAAAAATTTTCGTCGCATTTTTCTCAGGAACTAGACAACGATTTCTGAAATTTGGTTTCAGGGTTAATATAAGTAAGTTACACCGTGTGATGCGTTTTCAGATTCATCACTCAACAAAGTTCCTGTTAACCGAACACTTGTGTTATTTTACACATGATAGCCAAGTTGAAAATTTTCGTCACATTTTTCTCAGGAACTACTTGACAAGGATTTCTGAAATTTGGTTTCAGGGTTTATATAAGTCAGCTATACCGTGTGATGTGTTTTCAGATTCATCACTCAACAACTTCCTGTTTACAGAAATATTTCGGCGGGGGTATCATCAGTGAGCAGTAGCTGTCAGACTTATACTTCTGTTAGGCAATACTTTGCATTTTTCAATATGAAATGAATATTAAATAAAAAAATACACACAGAAGTTGAAATATGTAGTGTTGTTTGCTTCTTTGCTTCTTGTTTGAAATCTGAACAATGTATAAAACATTTGAATTTTTCTATTGATTTGTGTAAAAAATGTCAGCTGAAATATTTGGTATATTGAATTCTGTTTCAATATTTGAAAGTTTCTCAGATATCTCTTTTACAGTCTCCTTTAATGTCAATGTGAGTAAGATAGATGAACCAGCTTGTATTGGATGCTTTAGTTTACATTTATGATCATTTATCATCATTGAAACAAAATGATTATTGACTTATATGAGAATGTTTAACTTTTCAGTATATTTGTGAGGAACACTTCCAGAAGTTGTCAGGTGGTCGTAGTCTGTTTACTGGATTGAAAGCTACCACTCATTTCGGTCGGCCACAACTCAGTTCTATGTTTCAAGCAGTACATAGAACACATCCTATGGTAATATTTGTTATGGTTTTATGTCATTTGAAAATATGTGTTCACAAGTATCAAAACTAAAAAACAAAGTACTGTAATCTATAAAAGTGTTGGGATATGTTTACATTTCAATCTGACTTTTTTTTGGTTTTACTTCTAAAAAAATAATTTCATCATACAGATTTTTCTTTCTGTAAGTTTAAAATAACAACAAAGTCATGTAGTTTTTTTTAAGGGGTCAATTCTAACCAGATTGGTTCTTTTCTAAATTTGTGTTTAAAAAAATAAGTTTTTTTTTATTTATTAGGTATACATTCTCAGTACACCTAAATTTTTTCTTTACTGACTTTAGAATGAAAGTTACATCTTTTATATCAATTTTATAAGACAATGATTGCACTTAAAGACATCATAGAAAAATTGATTTTAAGAATAAAGAATCATATTGAAGGGTGAGAATAAAAAGAAAGTCAATCTGATCAATTTGAGAGAGTAATTGTCAGTAAATACAAAATTTAAAAAAAGAATTTCTTAGATTTAAGTAATTTTGTTTACCAAGGAAATATTCATGATGGTTAAACACTTGACACTATAACCGACAAATCTGATGATTATATAAAAATACTGCTCTATACAAAACCTCTTTATTTGAGACAGAAGATGAAACTATAAAGTTTTCATATGAAGTCATTTTATCAGTGCAAATTCAAAAAAGATATTATTAAAAAGGAAAAAAAAGTATTACAAAAAAGAAGAAATGATATTACTCAAAAGGAGAAAAGTATTGTATTTCCTGGTCCCTTATGATATTACAAATAATACTGTCGAGGAGAAAAGTCATATTATCCCACAAATTTTAGTAACATTAGGTTAAATTCATTGACCTTCAATCTTTGATTCTTAAAAGAGAAAAAGATCATTAGCACCTCAAGGTGATTATATATACTATCTTTGTTCTTATGAAAATTGACTAAGCTGTTAAGGCTATATCATGATAACATATTTCCGTATGCCTGAGTTTGATATGTAATACAACCAACCAACCATAAAACCTTATTGTGTCATACCTTCTTTTTGTGATATTGTATATACCTCCTTTCAAGAAAATGGCCAGTCCAATTTGTAGTTTAGTATTGTTGTTTTGCTGTCTCATCATGAATCATATGTAAATCACTTCTATTCATGTATGTCAAATCTTTGAGCAATTTTGTATAAGTTGTATACACAGCTCTTGCAACAATCTGAATAAAATTCAGTTTGGTATTAAAATATGGACATTCCTGCTTTTAATTTTAATTTCTGGCCTAATCATTACAGTTATATTTATTGTTATTGTATATTTTTTTAATCTGCTTTTGTAGGTACGTAAAGTTGGTGTTTTCAGTTGTGGTCCACCAGGGTTGACAAAAAGTGTGGAAGAAGCTACAAAAGACGCTAGCAATACAACCAAGGCTTTGTTTGAACATCACTTTGAGAACTTTTAATAAGGAAAATGTGGGGATTTAGTTTAGAATCTATTCGGTTGTATATTAGTTATTGTTTTTGTCTCATGTACATTTGCAGAAAAAGTTTGCTTTATTATGTTAAAGGTGAAGCTTGTCTATAGACACAGTTTATTTTATCTATACCTCATCTAAAAATCCTCATTGAGTAAAATATGATTATTGATATTTGTTGTAAGGAAATGAACTTTTATATCATTATTGATTTCAAAATTGTCTCTTTGTTTGATAAAAAGTATTAAAATGTGGTAAATACAATTTTTTACAAAAAGCATTGAATTTAGGTCTGACATCAAACTAAAGTACAGGTTAATCTTTTAATGCCATATGAAAGTTTATTTTGTCTACATTTTATTTAACAAAGTTAAAAAATGGCTAATATTTAACGTTTTTTAATTCTATGTCAAATAACAATGAACTTGATTTGAAATAAGTGGTGATAAAACAATATCATTTGTCAGTTACAATGCACCATTATGCATAGTCATTTTTTACATGAGTGTTATTATAAATTCTACAAATTGCAACACGCAGTGTTAGTTATACATAACCAAGATGCACACATATTTATATATAACACAAAACATATCTTTATTTACATACAATGTTTGAAGATAATGAAATCTCTTGCAAGCCAGTAATGATATCAATAGGAAAATTATATATTTTTTATGCCCCCACTGCAGTGGAGAGGGCATGAAGTGTTACCCTTGTCTGTCTGTACATACTTACATCCCAAAATTAGTTTCCGTTCTCTAACTTTAATTTGCCTCAACCAAATGTTATGAAACTGATAGGCAACATGTGATTTAAGTGGAAAATATCAATGAATTTAAAAAAAATATTATAATCAAACTTAACTCTGTGAAAAAATTGTGTATTTACAATAAGTAGTTTTTGAGTAATTAAATTTTCAAACTTCATAACCAATCAAGTCAGTCTCATTAGCCAAAATGTTGAGAAAATGGGCGAGGGGTACAAGAAATGATTTTACCAGATACATGTACATCCCATATAATTTTTTTCTTTTCAATTTTCTTAGATGTGTATTTTTTCAATCATTTATAACAAAGAAGTTGAAATAATATGCTTTTTGTTCTAAAAAAAGAGAAAAATCCCAAATTTACAAAATTGACAACATGGTAGATTTGACATGAAAAAGCAACAAAATTTTATAAAACTTTCTTATATTGACACCTACCCATAGTTTTTTCAAGTTAAATTTATTCAGATTGGTCCACTTCATCTTTAGTGAAAGTATGAAAAAAAGTTTAATTGTGAAACTGTGATTTTTTTCATGATAATAGCCCAAAAATTGGTAAACATTGATGAAAAATGGGAAAATCATCAAAATTGGGTACTTTCAAATGGCTGTAGCAAAAAAAGAAGTGCACCACCATATGATTTCTTCTTTACCAATTATTTTTTTACAGTCATATAAACCCAAAAATCAGGTTAAGAAAAAAAGTTTAATTCTAGAAATTTTTGGCTCCTCAGAGGGTTACATCCTTCTCCTAAGGGAGTTGGAACCATAGTTTCTCATTAATTTTTAAATTTATCAGCTGATAACTTGAGAAAATTATGTTATCCATTATGTCAGTACCTAAGCACTAAATACTGGGCTGATGATACCCTGAGGGCCAAGGTATTATAAGAGCACCAGCAGCTGTATCTACCCAGTGCTAACAAATGTAAAATATATAATTTTGGTGTGTTCAAATCGCTTTTCTAAATTTTTCTTCATCAGGTTATATTATAACCAAAGATACGTAACTGAAGAGCATAATATCCAGTGGGTTCAATTCAATTTAATTTAATTCAGATGGAGTAGATGTATGATCCATTGTTACAGATTATAACATCGCTTTCAGTATAGTCCTTGGAATTATTTTGAAACTTCCATATTGGACCAATGTAACAAACCATTGTCTTTCAAAATGAATATATATACTGCATCTCATCATAGTGCCAAATATGATTCCAAATTGATAATTTTTATACAGAAATAATGTTTATCAATTAATTAAAAATAAATGGCAAAAAATTAATTGAATACTTGAATGACATAAATTTATTCAGAAAAAAGATCTGATACACTTCTTAACAAGATTTTCAGTTTTACAACAAATATGATGGAAATGTCTTGTTCAGAATATGATATAACTATTGTCATCACTGAATCTTGTCAAATGTTTGCCAAAGTGTTTCATTAAGATATCAAATCGGCAATTTTCAAATGAAATATGTTAGTTTCATCCGGTTTATGCAATTTTTTTTAGTAAACAGTATTAACCAAGAAGGCTTTACTTAGTTATAAAAACACATTTGTTTGTAACAGATGAGAGATACAGGTTCCTTGGAGCCTAAATGAAATTTAATATATTTTGAAAGCTGTTTTTAAAAGTGCCAAAATAGAGAATTTTTTTATTTTAAGTTTTATATTGTACAATACTAGTATGTGTAAACTATTAGAAATATTTCAGTGCTATAGGCCTATGATTAAAGGTTGTTGAATAGTGGTTCTCAATAAAAATCGATTATTTAACGGATGTTGATAGATTTAACATCAAAATATTATATACACCATAAAATGGAAGTTTTGTTTTGAATAAAAATTGTACATTCTTTTTTGTTTTTATGATTTGGATTTCTGGAATAGAGAACAACTAATTTCAGGTGATATGCAAACATTACTAGTTGGCTGTCATGAGATCAATCTATTCATAAGGATATAGTAAATATTTTAAACATATCTATGGACAGTTCAATTAAGTTCAGGAGGGCTTTCAGATTCACAGCAAATTCTGAGTAACTGATTCACATGTTGACAAAGAATATAAAATGAAAAAATAGTCTGAAATTCAGATAAAGGATAATAAATTGCCATGATATTTCTTATTTTTTTAGCTCACCTGTCCTATTTAATCACGAGAACCTCGTAAAATGTGCTCTTTTCACTCTTTGGAGAATAAGCAGAATGAGGGAACTATCTAGTAATCTTCAAATATTTTGTCAAAATCCACTTAATTAAAGATCCTGAACAGTTTAATTATGGTATTATACAACGGTTCAACCACATGGACTATGTAGTACAAGATTATTTCACTCCTGAAAATGATATACATGTAGAATTCATACTTTAGTATTGCCAGTTGATCAAATAGATGCTGCTGACCTTCTAATAGTTTTTATTTAGACTTTATTATTGTACTGGATGCATGTTCAAATGTTATTGGATCAACTCAATAGATAACTCAAATGTAGTCATAAATAACTCAAATATAGTCATAGATAACTCAAAAGTAGTCATAGAAAACTCAAAAGTTATATAGATCTTCTCGTGTTTATAGGTCTTACACATCATCGGTGGTAGGTTTGGGAATTCCCGATGAAGGTAAATCAATAAAGCGGCACGAAAATAATAAGGTGTTATTTTCTTTGAAATTTAGACTGTCAAAAACAGTTGGGAAAATGTATAGAAGAGAAAAATATAATAATCCCAAACCAGAACACAACCAAATGCAAAATCAACAAATCGACGTCTCCATGACTAAACAGAAAAAGGTATATTAAGTGGAAAATTGTACATTGAAAAGAATGTTAAGCAACACATTATATTTCCAACTAATTTTAATTAAAATGAAAAGAGATGATGTTTTATATATATATACATATATTTGAATTTAAAATGGATAAACTAAAACAAGACCAAAGTATTGAAACCCAGCGATAAGTGTAAAGCTATAAAATAATTAACTTTTGTCGTCTGACCCTAACAAACTGCTTCGTGTTACAATTAAACTAATTTCCCAGGAAACAATTTTAAAACATCGTTCATTTATTTGCTGAAAGTAATTTTCGACACTATGAACCGTTCAAGTGAGTTCATCGGATTAGACAACATAGTAATTTCCCAATCATCAAATAAAAAACGAATGAAAATTGGATGCTTTCTTAAGTAATATATCTCGTTATAAACTAGAGTACACTCAATGTCGCTGAAATATCGGAAGTTTGTCTTTTGACGAATTGAGCTCGTATCCATGTTCCAAAGCAATCAATGACTATTTGTGACAATTTATTGCATCTGTGTGGAAGAATCATTAATGTTACTTAAAAGTTAGAATAGAAAACTGCTCCTAGAAATTGCTTTGACCTTAAATTATATCATGATTCTGGCAGACACAATTATTTGATAACTTATATGAGGTAAGTAAGTTTTATTAAAGTATTAATTATTCTCAATATTAATGAAGTATATATAATATCGTATACTTTTTAATTTGTTTAAACTTTTATTCGATTTCGTTGGGAATTTCTTATAATTTGTAATTTCCTACAATGATATCTATTTCCATGTCCTGGAGTGTTGGGATTGGTTTGTCTTCTTTTCCTTGTGCTATTGTGTTGTTATGTGCGTTTTGTTGGTCAGTATTTTCTATTTTTCTATTTTAGGTGATTTATTAAATTCCTTTATTGCAGGGAAATGGGGAGAATCACTTACTCTTATTTATTAACCTATTTCATCAATTGCCGAATGAAATAACGCTATTTTTCATGAACTTTACTTTTGTGTCCGAGTATTTTAAACGCTCATAGTTTTGAAGTACTTAAAAGTTGTCTAATTAAAATACTTGATAAATTATCATTCATGATTGAATATTGTCTTTTCTGTTTATACAAAAGCAATATGATATTCTCGCAAAAAATAATGACGTATAAACGATTCCTTGAGAATAATCACTGGTTATAAGTCAATTTACTGCGTGTCGATTACTGCAAGGATCTCTTCCCTGAATTCAACAGATAACGTAATAGGCCAGACACTCCCGTCAAAACATATTAGACAACTTTGACGGATTTTGTAAACAATGTTGTCTGTGAATTGACATTCGGATATTACTTTTGCAACTTTTGCAATACAAAAGAAAATCAAACAGAAACCATTTACTTGTTTCCAAAAATGTAAGAAATGTTTGTTTTCAAATTGTTCATTGAATAAGAAACGCGAATGGAATGTTGACACTCTATGACAACTTTAACTTTTGGAATTTTAGGTCCTCAGAGCTCTTCAACTTCGTACTTTATTTTGCCTTTTAACTTTTTTAATTTGAGCGTCACTGATTAGTCATTTTAAACGAAACGCGCGTCTGGCGTACAAAATGTTAATCATGGTAACTCTGATGAGTCTATTCATAGTTTCACAAAGGAGGTAATTTGAAATAGCATCGTGATGAAATATAACAATAAAACATCCGCTTTTACTATTTTTTAATATGTGACCAATGTTGTATCTGTTTAACAAAAGAAACTCATTTTAAAGATAAAATTGAGAATGAAAATGGGAAATATGTCAAAGAGGCAACAACCCGGCCAAAGAGCAGATAACAGCCGAAGGCTACCAATGGGTCTTCAACGCAGCGAGAAAATCCCGCACCGGAGGTGGTCCTCAGCTGGCCCCTAAATAAAAATGTACTAGTTCAGTGAAAATGGACGTCATATTAAACTCCAAAACATATAAATGAACTAAAATTAAAAAACATACAAGACTAACAAAGGCCAGAGGCTCCTGGCTTGGGACAGGCGCAAAAATGCGGCGGGGTTAAACATGTTTTGTGAGATCTCAACCCTCCCCCTAAACATCTAGACAATGTAGAATAAAGAAACACACAGCAATACGCACAGTAAAACTCAGTTTAAAAGAAGTCCGAGTCCGATGTCAGAATAGGTAACAAAAGAAACTAAGCAAAATGACAATACATACATTAACAAAGGACTACTAGCAGTTACTGACATGCCAGCTCCAGACCTCAATTAAACTGATTGAAAGATGTAAGTTTAAGTTGAGTAATTCCTTCAATACACATTTTTTTCAGGATTTTCTTTTATTGGGGACACAAGTTAAGAATGAATTTATAATCAGATACATAAAACAATGAATTGCGCTAGAATATTTTTCATAATTTGTCGCTTCACCAACTTGGTCACCTTGAAAAGGTTGTTTTCTTTATAGTCACTCTTTTCAATTTTATTGAATTATTTTCCAGTGTCATTATACATTTCCGGGATTCAAGATTTTGTTCCTTTACGACATGTCCTTTAAAAGATATTTGATATATATGATATTTGTATATTAAAGCTTATCGTTGAATTTTTTGAAAATTTATGCGAGATGAACGCAACTGACGTTCACATTTTAAGCAAGTAACAAATACACCTTAATATGAACGATATATCTAAATGTTCGACTAAACATCTTTCTAAAGTTCTCACTACATTTTTTTCTAGAGTAAATGATGGCATAGCTTCAAAAATATTGCGATGAGGAATATTCATACAAACTCAATGGTGTCAATCACGTGTGGTTTCTTAAAAATAAAAAGATCTACTATAAAATCTGCAAGCACTTCTTTACCATTTCGCAGTAATATCAAAACTCTTAATTTTTCTACGCTCTATATAATACTATTTGGAAAAATCGACTACAACATCTAATTTAGCTGAGCTTTTTCTACTAAAATGTGATTAGTACTTCCATTTCTTAGTAGTTAAACTACATCTGTCTCATCATATGGTGTATTACATATCTCAATAAATACGTTACGCTCGTGCAACTTCTTACTTTACTTCATCAATAGGCGTGCTGTTGACACAAACACTGCTCAAATAGAATATACACTTGATAAGTTTCACGGTCATACACCATCACGAATTGGTTAACCGATACAGTGTGTTTGTTTTTCAACTCACTATAGCAACATGTTTTCGCGGTTTTAGATCTTTAGATAACAGAACAGTTGTCTGATTTGTGAATTTTTTACTGAGTGTGGATTCGCGTGTCAGGTGCTTCATACATATCATTAGACACCCTGTCGACGTCTTAGGTCTCACTACTTTTAGAGTTCATACGATTCCCTCAGTTTAATACAAATGTAATACTTGATTTCAATACAACAACGGGAGTGTTTAACCACCTTGACCACTCGCACGGTCATCCTTGGCTTACGTCTTTTTAGGTATTCGATATAATTTATTTTAACCGTAATAAATTTTTGATGAAATAAACATAAAATATTTAAAATGCATAAATTGATAGAGAAAAATATCTCGATTTTGTAAAATGAAAGATAAAATAAAAAATATTTTTTTATAATTTTTTTTTCAAATAAAATAATTTGATAAATGAATAATGATTAATTTATCAAAAATAAAATCAAAGACATTACAGTATTGACAACAAACTTGCCAACGAAAGCTGGAACAGGCGACAAAGCCAAACGATAACTAAGAACGACAGCAATAATGTTGCAGTACAGCAGTAGGCTAGTAAAGAGTAGAGCATTCTGTTATGTCAAAATTGTATAAGGAATTCAGGTGCCAAAATATTGCATTCGAATAGCTGCAACCAGTCCAAGAAGCAAGAAGTAAAATACTTGTTGAAATTTGTTGTGCCAAACGTAATTGCGAATTTAGTTGTCAATAACATGTCAATCCCAAATAGGTTTAAACATTTGATTGTAAATTAAGGGAACAAATAAATTGGTGTATAAAATAAACTGAAGACAGTGAGACAACTTTAAAGATAAATAACCAAGGAATTTATGTGGAATTTTGACTGCTATGTGTTAGCCTAACTGATTTGTAGGATTTTAGCTTTGGTTGTTAATACAACAGAACGCTGTCCGCCATGAGACAAACGCCCAACACTATTTCCTTATACTAGGATAGCGTAAACCAGTTCTTACAAAATACGAGTATTAAAGTCTTTGGTTTGATTTCCTGAACTTCATATATGATTTAGACCAAAAAGCTAACCTGACCTTTGAATTAAGATGATATGATATATGAAACAAAGACTTTTTAACAAATTATTATATTTTCATTTTAAATATATAAAATACGAACAAAATTGTTGAATAATAGCATCAAATGTATAAGACAATTAAATTATTTATTAAAATATATTAAAATGAAGATGATAAAGAAAAAAAAACAGAGCGGTTACTAGATCAAATACTATTATAGAATCAGAAATACAACGGACCAATGAAAAAGACTGCTACTGGTCCATTAACTTTTGTGAAAAAGGAATCTTAGATGATTAACATTGATGAATAACATCCAACAGCCAATATCATAGGCATAAATAGGACGATAATATGTTATATCGATATGTTATAGCAGACCATCGTGTGAGGCACCCGGAAATGTAACCATACTCTGGCACATTTTTCTAACTCCCGCCATACTTTAAAAATTGTTATAAAAACGAGATGTGGTGTGATTGCCAATGAAACGTTGTCCACCAGATCCAAATTACGTGGATGTAAACAGCTTTATGTCACCGTATGGCCTTTAACAATGAGCAATGAATATTAAATATAAATATGTAAAGAAAAAATCATAGCAAGGCAATAAGGAGATATTGAAAATTTGCTTTCAGCAGCTCCTAATTTACCATCACATATTTTAGAGCTTGATGGAAATACTAGAATAATATCAAAGGTGTCATGTGAGCATGACACAATGTTCTAGGTTCATAGATTCAAATCACGTTTAATTACTAGAAAGGTGTCACCGTAACTTGCACCAAAGATTAATAATACCACAAATTCAAATTTCTTCTTACGGTCAGAAAAAAAAATGTCTGTTAGCTATTTTGAACATTTAAAAACTTTATTGGTTGGACAGATCAATAATAATTCAACGCCTTGTTGCTTTGCATAATGCACTAGCATCAAAGTTGTAGACAGATATGATTATCCAAAGACTAGATTTCAATGATTTCTCTAAAAGCAGATTGATAGGTTCGTTGGATGTTGAGAGTTGTTGATTTTTTATGTTATATCAACACTTTGTATTTTCAATTTCAGGAAGATTTCTAAAGTTCATTGATTTATTAAAAAGAGTTGGAAATTGTCTGAAATTCTGATGCTGGTGCCAATAAAATTGTTAGATTTGCACTTAATTCATCCTTTTCAGTCAGCTAAATATCATGCATTGTATTGTATTTGTTGGCACTTTTCTATTTTATGCCATCTTGACGAATGCAAAGTTTATTACATCTTATGTTAACAGAGTCATGTCAGTTTTCTAATTTCATTTTGTAATGTTGATAGATTGTTTCCAATCGTAGGGTTAGATATTTTTTAATGGCAATCTGTTATGACATTTTTATAACCCTCCAACTCTCAATGATAATATGTTTT